AAAACTCGGTAAACATTCCTGTTACTAATGAGGTATTAATGGTTTTTTCCTGCTGTCTTTCGCCACAGCGGTAATGAATGTATAAATTTAGTTTATCCTCCAAACATTTATAGAGGTGCTGCAATAGGTTGTACAAAATAACCGGAAAAAGTCTATAATAACTAGATAGGAAAGTCATATGTTGGACACATCAGATTTTTTGTATTTATCTTTGGAAAGCTAAAAAATTCATTAATCTTGTATACCTATAGGAATATATTCAGCATTGAGTTAAAATAAATGTCACCCTATAACGATCACAATTAAATCGGAATTCATAAATAATATGAAAACAAATACATGCTTGGATCGTGAAGTATATAAACAAAAAAAAATGATTAAATCGATCATGTTATCTATTTTTATTCCTTCACTGCTTTAAAACTGAATGACTTATTTAGGTTTGGCAATTAACGGCTAAATCAAGGACCATAATAATTTTTTAACACCTTGGCTCCCATATATATCACATGTGATCCATAAATTAACCTTCTTCATGAATCATAAAAGTTCCAAGTCTCCTGTTGTGTACCAAGTAGTTTTCACTTAATTACTATATTCTAAACGCTTGTATATATTTTTTTGTTAAAATAACTGCATAAATAAAACAATAGCTATACTTAATCCATATCAACCTAAACTACGATTTTTATGTACTAAACTCAAACAAATAATGATTGAGAGTGAAAGCAGGTAGAAATACGACCAAATCGGAGGCGTGCTTATTATTTTTGAGAGGGTACAATTATTTAAAATATTCATACAATTTCTTTTATTTATTTCATGAAAACTTTGCAATATCGTAATTTACCTAATCGTTGTAGTCATTAGTGGGGCTTTATGAAAACGGAGTAATAATTGTGGTAATTATAGTAGGAACCAAATAAATTAAGAATATTAATAAAAATCACAATATATATTTCAAATTAAAAATAAGAAAGATACCTAATCAGGGGTTGGTTTGGTGACAGAAACAATATTATCAATTTTACTATTTTAATAATGAATTTAACTTTATTTCACAAATTAACGTATATTTATATATTATGTCGCGGCCGAAGTAAGTAAGGAACTGTCTCTTAAGTTTCTTCTTGGGTTACACATACAGAAGTATTACTTAAATTTTAAATTAAAATCATAATGACGGATATTGCATATCCAATGCAATTGATATTTTTATTTTGTTTCGTTTATTTTTAAATTTTTATATTTTTTAATCTTTTTATATTATATTTAGTTTTTAATTTAATAATTCAAAACCCGATGTTACGCTCGTGGTTAGAAATACACTACTGAGAACGTCATCGACGAGATGGATTTTACGCGTAACAGACAAAGACACAAATATCGCTCCGTACACCGATGCCATTAGTTGTAACAAATACTGAACAATCCATAAAATAATTAATTTTAAATGATCAAGAAATGTATAAGTATTACTCATTACTGATTTTTGTTATAATTAATATCTTTTATTAGTACTATGATTGTATATTATCTATAATTTGCCACAACTTACAACTCTACTACTTACTCTATTTTGATTCTGCTAAAAACTAGTAAGGTAAAATTGAGATATGACAACACGGTTCACTCTCAATCAATATTTGTTTGAGTATAATGTACATTATTGGTGATAACAAGTTTACTAAATTATTTCTATCACTGATACTTTAATTTAAAATCCTCTAAATTCTTAAAACTGATTGCAAGAAGCAATGCTTAATATCACCAGTGCTATACCACAACACAAAATGGACCCAAATCGAATGTATCACTGATAACTCATTCCACAGAACATAATCCCTAAATAGTATAGAAACCTCTAAAACGCCTGTCACCTTTTTAAAAATCATATTTTAATTATTTTAATGTATGCCCTTAAGTTTTTGAGGATGCTGAATTTGAATATGATGTCAAATCGATAATATTGACAATTGACAGCTGTCAAACGCTTCAAAGAAAAACAAATCTTATATTAAAGAATGTTATCTCATGTTTTTGAGGACGCTGAATTCAAATAAGATGTCAAATCGATAATATTGACAGCTGTCAAATGCTAAAAAAAAAGAAATCTCATATTAAAGGATGTTATCTCATGTTTTTGAGGACGCTGAATTCAAATAAGATGTCAAATCGATAATATAAGATTTCTCTTGTTTTAAAGCACTTGACAGCTGTTAATTGCCAATATGGATTTGACATATTTCAATTCAGCATCCTCAAAAACTTAAGGACATACATTAAAATATGATTTTCAAAAAGGTGACATGCGTTTTAGAAGTTTTTATACTATGGTGGAGTCACGGAGCTCCATGGGAGCCAAACCATGGACTTTGGAGCTTAGTGTCCATTGAGACTTTTGTTCAGGTTGACAAAATGTATAATATCAAACATTCAGACAATTTGACCAAGAGTGCATTTCCTATCTTTTCGTGCTGGGTCCTTTATAAATCTTAACCATCTCAACATGATACCCCAAGACAAAACAAAGTATATGACTTATAAAATAGAAATGTAACAACTTACCACTAAAAAAAAAAGATATTTTATCATCATCTAATAACAAATCATCATCTTTTGGCATTGTACTTAAGCGTATTTGGTTTAACATTTATCTTCTAGAATGATTTTTAAATCTGTAATGAAAAATGTGCAAAACAATACACATAGTTTTGTATGACAAATTGACCAATGTCATTCTAATGCCTTATAACCTCCATTTTATCAAAAATTAGATTTTTCATCAAATTATCGTAATTGCTCATTATAAAAAATCTTGTGGCTCAGAAAATGTTTAAAACTAAATTGCTTCGTATATGAACTGAACTTTGCGTTCCTCTCCTGTAAAATGCGAATTTTGGAGTATTATAATAACATCGGAGGAATATAAAAATATGTAATACTCAGTTCCTATCAGAAAAAAATATATTTTTATGGTAAAATTTGATTTTTCAAAGTCAAATTTGTATTTGAGTCAATTTTCCATTTTTTGAGACCATTTTTTTTTTTTTACATTAGATCCAAATTAAATTGAGCGAATATGTAATTTTTTGAACTAAATTGTTCATTTTTGAGCCAAATTTTCAATTTTGAAGACAAAATTGCTGTTTTTATTTGATATTTTACACTAAATTGAACAAATAAGCCAAATTGTCAATTTTTTACACAAATTTTTCATTTTTTGAGTAAAATGTTAACATTTTTGGGCCAAATTTAACGAATTTTATAAATTAAATAAATTCTTTGCGTCAAATTTGCGATTAAGCAGTCTCCATTTTTTTGAGACAAGACAAATTTTCAGCATTAGATCCAAACTTACCAGTACTTTTTGAGATAGACCATTTTATAATAAATAAAGCAAATTAACCGTTTTTAGTCAAATTTTCATTTTTTGAGCCAAATGTACCATTTTTGGGTAAAATTTACCTTTTTTGAGCCAAATTTGCCGGTATTTTTCGTGTAAAATGTTAATTTTGGGGTCACGAGGTATTTGAATGACACCGGCGAAATAAAAAATACATTTTTTTCAAGTAAAATTTGCCATTTGAGACAACAGAAATTTTCAATGTTAGATCCAAACTTATCGGTATTTTTTGAGACAATTTTTTAATAAATAGATCAAAATAACTATTTTTGGAGCCAAATTTGCTGGTATTTTTTAAAAGGAACTTTACTAAATTAAGAAAATTTGTCAGTTTTTGAGCCAAATTTACTATTTTCAGTATTAGATCTAAACTTACCGGTACTTTTTGAGATAAGACAATTTATTAATTAACCGTTTTTAGACAAATTTGCCATTTTTTTGAGCAGAATTTGCAATTTTTGAGCCAAATATACAATTTTTGGGTAAAATTTACCTTTTTTGAGCCAAATTTGCTGGTATTTTTCATGTAAAATGTTAATTTTGGAGTCACGAGGTATTTGAATGACATCGGCGAAATAAAAAATATATTTTTAAGTAAAATTTGCCATTGAGCCAATTTTTTATTTTTTGAGACAAGAGAAATGTTCAATATTAGATCCAAACTTACCGGTATTTTTTAATAAATAGATCAAAATAACTATTTTTGAGCCAAATTTGCTGGTATTTTTTTGAAAGAAACTACTAAATTAAGAAAATTTGTCAGTTTTTAGACCAAATTTACTAATTTCAGTATTAGATCCAAACTTATCGGTACTTTTTGAGATAAAACAATTTATTAATTAACAGTTTTAGACAAATTTGCCATTTTTTTGAGTAGAATTAGCTCTTTTTGAGCCAAATGTACCATTTTTGGGTAAAATGTACCTTATTTGAACCAATTTGCTGGTATTTTTCATGTAAAATGTTGGGATCACGAGGTATTTGAGTGACACCCGGCGAAATAAAAAATATATTTTTAAGTAAAAGTTGCCTTTAGCCAATTTTTCATTTTTTTCAGACAAGAAAAATTTTTAATATTAAATCCAAACTTACCGGTATTTTTTGAGACAATTTTTTAATAAATAGATCAAAATAACCATTTTTTGAGCCAAATTTGCTAGTATTTTTTGAAAGAAAATTTGCCAGCTTTTGAGCCAAATTTACCATTTTGAATCAAATTTGTAAATTTTTGAAATAAATTCAATTTAAAAAATTAATTATAGTTAAAAGTACCCATTTTTGAGATATATTGGCAAGTTTTTGAGCCAACTTTTGAGCGAAAACTGATTTTTTTTTTCAAAAAAATAGAGCGAAAGTGAATTTTTTACCAAATTGACAATTCGAGATGTAAAAATATAGAGACTTACCTTTCTTTTACTTCGACCCATTACCAAAACATTTAAAAATAGAGACCAACAGCTCCATGCAGTACAAATTCTAATAAACCCAACATTAAATAGATACAATTTTATTTTTCAATAATCATATTTACAACAATAAAATGTAAACTAATATAAATATGGAGTGATCCACAAAAAAATATTTCTAAAGAGACCTCACGAATGTTACACAAATATAAGTATGGAGCAGTGAAGCTATCATAGATATGACATCTCTATCTTAGTCTCTATTTTTGTGAATCACTCTAGCATCAAATCGAAAAGTCAAAAATATAAAAAAGGAACTTCAGTTTTTTGAAATTATTTTCCGAGAATAACAGAACGTATTTTTACTTCTTTAGAAACAAGTGTTTGAAGGAGTTAATTTATTTTAGTAACAAGCGGCCAACAATTGAAAGTGAGTTGTATGAATAGAGGGGCCAGTGTCTTTCCTGTAAAATACGCATGTTCCGTCCCAATCTCTAAAAAAAAAACGAAGAAAATGTCGCCGCTTTCTCTGATAAATTTCCCTATTAAGGCAAATTTTTAAGTCATATTTGGCAGTATTTTTTACTTTTTACTAAAATTGGACAAATTATTCATTTGTTTAATCAGATTAGCAATTTTTGAGCCACATTTGATAAATTTAGTCATTTATAAGACAAATTTGCAGTTTTTAATTTTTTTTTTTAACCAAATTGTCAATTTTGAGACACATTTTCAGGTTATTAAATTTCTTTTATTTTTGGATCAAATTTGCAGGTATCCATTTCGAGACTAAATTTAACAATTTGGCCATTTTTTTTAACCTGTTTTTTTACTTCTTACTAAATTTGGACAATTGCCAATTTTTTAAATCAGATATGCAATTTTTGAGCCAAATTTTTAACTTATTTAATTATTTGTTTTTGAGTCAAATTTGCCAGCATTTATCACAAGACAGTTATTAAATAAAATGAACAAATTGGCCATTTTTTGAATCTGATTTAAAAATTTTGAGCCAAACTTGATACTAAGCTAAGATTTCCATTTGTTGATATTTTGTGAGGGCCAACTTTTCACTATATTGAACAAATGTCACTTTGTGAACCAAATTATTTATTTTTGAGCAAATTTGCAGTTTTTATTTATGCTATTTTTTCAGCCAAATTGTCAATTTTTGACATATTTTTAATTCTATTAATTTTTTTATTTGCCGGTATTTATTGCGAGACAGTTATTTAATAAATTTAACAAATTGGCCAGTTTTTGAGCCTATTTTTTTTTACTTTTTACTAAAATTGGACAAATTGGCATTTTTAAAATTAAATTTGCAATTTTTAAGCTAAATTTGATACTGAGCCAAGATTTCTATTTGTCTATATTTTCTAAGGGGCAACTTTTTAGTAAATTACGCAAATGGGCCATTTTTTTTTAAACAAATTGTCATTTTTAGGCCAAATTTTCGAGTTTGAATACAAAGTTGCCGTTTTTATTTAAGATTTTACACTAAATTGAACAAATAGGTCATTTTTTGAGCCAAATTGTTAATTTTTGATATAAAGTTTCTATTTTTTAAGAATTTTTGGGCCAAATTTGACGGTATTTATTTATTTACTAAATTAAATAATCTGAAATTTTTAAGCCAAATTTGGAATAATGCGAAGTTTCCAGTTTTTGAGACAAGACAAATTTTCAAATTATATCCAAACTTACCGGTACTTTTTGAGATAAGACTATTAATTAACCGTTTTTAGACAAATTTGCCATTTTTGAGTAGAATTTGTTATTTTTGAGCCAAATGTACCATTTTTGGGTAAAATTTACCTTTTGAGCCAAATTTGCTGGTATTTTTAAACCAAATTTGGAATAAGGCAAAGTTTCCATTTTTTGAGACAAGACAAATTTTCAAAATTAGATCCAAACTTACCAGTACTTTTTGAAACGAGACAATTTTTTAATAAAGAGAGCAAATTAAGCGTATTTAGTAAAATTTACCATTTTTTAAACCGAATTTACTATTTTTGAGCCAAATGAACAATTTTTGGATAAAATTTACCTTTTTTTTCGGTCAAAGCTGCAAGTATTTTTTAAAGTGACAACTTTTTACTAAATCAAGCAAATTAGCCAGGTTTTGAGTCTAATCTGCCATTACTCAGTCAAATTGCTCGTTTTTCAGATAAATTTTCGATTTTGAACTCAAAATTGGTGTTTTTATTTAAGATTTTTCACTATTTTTGAGCCAAATTGTCAATTTTTGAGAACATTTATTCACCACTACTTAATAAATTAAACAAATTTGAATTTTTTGGGCCAAATTGTTAATTTTTGAGCCAAATGTTTTGGTAAAATTTACTTTTATGCGCCAAATTTGCCGGTATTTTTAAGACGAATAAATTATTATTAAATTAAGCAAATTAGCCAGGTTTTGAGGCAAAATGTATGAGCCAAATTTGCCATTAGTAAGTCAAATTTACCTTTTTTACGCCAAAGCTGGTATTTTTCAAAGGGACTTTTACTAAATTAAGCAAATTAGCCAGGTTTTGAGGCAAAATGGCTATTATAAGCCAAATTTACAATTACCAAGTCAAATTTGCCATTTTTTAGTCAAATCCAGTCCATTCTGAGAATAAAGGCGAGAAAATAAGTTACTAATCAAATAAACCATGTAATATAGGGGAACGCAAAATTAAATCCCTTAATCAAATCGCCATTACCATTTAGGGTGACGCAAAATCGAAAAACCGCTGAAAAAACAAATGTACCCTTAACAAAAAAACTACTAACCCATATCCATACAACCCACTATCTAAAAGACCATTAAAAAAAGCCACTTTCGTTTTAATCTATAAAATAATTTCAATATAAATATCGTTCATCATTAAATTAAATATATGTATGCGTAAAATAATCAGCACTTGTATAAGACGGCCCTTTGCAAATAAAGTAATCATCGATTCAAAAAAAAAGAAGAAAATCATGTGTAACATAATAAATAAGGCCAAATAACCGTAACACCAAAAAATATATTTAAAAGAGAAATACCTAACGAAATATAGAGGGAATAACAAACAACTATATTAAAGCCCTTTTGGCCGGTGCCGAATATACTGGCGCTTGAAAAACACAAATGAACGAATGTCGCACATGTGCGTCGTCGGCACATAGGGGGTTTCCTCTGACGCGCATGTGCGTCATCAGCAGTGAAATGGTTAAAAGATGTTTTAAAGCAGGGAAAATGACAAGGAATAAAAACGACATGTTTTGACAGAACAACCATGTTGTACCTTCACTTTTCTGACAAACCTCGTAACCTATTCAAGAAATTTGACTGTATTTTGCAGTTCTAATGGCGGAAACGAACAATGATGATCCAAAAGTGTCCTAAACACCCAGGAAGAAGAAATTTTCTATGAAGTCGTTTACTCTGAAGCACCAAATCTTTCCTACAGTGAAATTGGTCCCTTCCAAGTAACAAACACTGGTCATTTTGGAATGAACCTATCTAACCCTTTTACTGCGAATTCAAATTAAAGCCCGTTTGGCCGGTGCCGAATATACTGGCGCTTGAAAACACAAATGAACGAATGTCGCACATGTGCGTCGTCGGCACAAAGTGGGGGCTTCCTATGACGCACATGTGCGTCGTCGACACATAGTTAGGACTTCCTATGACGCGCATGTGCGTTGTCAACACATAGTGAGGGCTTCCTATGACGCGAAAGTGCGTCAACTTCAGTGAAAGGGTTAAAAGATGTTTAAAAACAGGACAAAAGACAAGGAATAAAAAGAACATGTTTTGACGAGAAACAGCCATGTTGTCTTCAATTATCGGACAAACCTTGTATCGTATTGAAGAAATTTGGGTGTATTGTACAGTTGTAGAGGACAGAAAGGGACGATGATGATCCAAAAGTGCCCTAAATACTGAATAAGAAGAACTTTTCTATAAAATGCAATTTTAATATTTACAAATTATGAATTAAGATATCTTACCATTCTGTGGATTAATATGTTTTATCTATTTAAAATATTTTTCGGTCATAACGTTTTTTTGGGTCACCTGGAAATTTTATGCAAACTTACCATTTATACGTCAAAATTTGTAATTTTTAGAGAAAAAAAAAAACAATTTTTGAGCCAAACTCACCGGCATTTTGTCAGAGAGGAATTTATTTGAGCTAAATTAGCTATTTTAAATAAAATTTGCCATTTTGAGAAAAATTATTAGTTAATAAACAATACCAAATTTTATGCAAATTTGCCGTGCTAGAGCCATTTTTGAGTCAAATATGTAATTTTTGAGCCAAATTGATTAATTTTTGAGCCAAATTTGCAATTTTTGAGTCAAAGTTAACATAATTCAGTCAAATTTGCAATATTTGAACCAAATTTGCAATTTTTGAGCCAAATTTGCCATTTTGAGCCCAATTTTATTAGTTTTAAATTTTTTGAGATGAAATTTTAATTCTTAAGCCAATTTGCTGGTATTTTTTAAGACAGACGTTTTACTGAATTGACCTAAATTTTTACACAAAGTCAATTAGCAATTCAAGACGAATTTTGGACTATCATGTTCTAAGTATAAATACGATTGAATGTACATCTACAAAATATAATAAACAATACGAAATTTTAGGCAAATTTGCCATTTTTTTGAGCCAAAATGTGTAATTTTTTCGAAAAAATTCCTTTTATGAGCCAAATTGATCGGTATTTTGTGACAAAAGAAACTTTTTGAGTCAAATTTGTAATTTTTTAAAACAAATTGATCCTTTTTAATTAAATTTTTGAGTCAAATTTTATTAGTGTTCAATTTTTGAGACGACGTTTCACTGAATTGACCTAAATTTTTACACAAAGTCAAAATGGCTATAGCAATTGAAGACGAGAATTTGGGACTAATAAACAATACCAAATTTTTAAGTAAACTTGCCATTTTTGGACCAAAATATGCAATTTAAAAAAAAATCTATTGTGAGCCAAACTGACCGGTATTTTGTGACAAGAAACTTTTTTAACCAAAATGATAATTTTTGAAAAAGTTTGTATTTTTTTTTTAAACAAATTTGCCATTTTTGACTCAAATTTGCCATTATTGCGTCAAATTGATCCTTTTAAATCAAATTTTTGAGCCAAATTTTATTAGTTTTCAATTTTTTGAGACGACGTTTTACTGAATTGACCTAAATTTTTACACAAAGTCAAAATGGCTATCGCAATTCAAGACGATAATAATTGGACCTATCATATTCTAAGTATAAATACGATTGAATGTACATCTATAAAATCTAATAAACGATACGAAATTGTATGTAAAGAACCCCTCAGTTTTCTTTTGACGAACGCATTTAGATTGTATCTGAAATAAAATTAAATCAACGCCGTTCTCTGGAACTTGCTAACCAAAGTGCGACTTTTGAGTAAAATTTTTACCTTTTTTAAGACAAATTTACTATTAGTTTTTCAATTTTTTTTGCTATATTGTGCCAAATTGTCCATTTGCGAGTTAACTTAGCAAGTTTGAGCCAAATTTGCCATTTTCCCATCTTTTTGAGAATTTTTATTATTTTTTTATTTTCATTTTGGTTCAAATTACTTATATGAAGAATAAAAGGGAGAGAGGGAACTTTTTACTAAACTGACCTATTTGGCATTTTTTGAGCCGTTTGTTTGGCTCAATTTGCTATTTGGTTTCCTATTTGGATTCCTAGACCATTTTCGAACCAAAGTGATTGCTATTTTGTGAGAGAGACAACTTAATACAAAATTGGTCAAATTGAACATATTTTTATTCAAATTAGCAATTTTTGAGCCAGAATGGCAATTTTGTTAACCAAATTTGCAATTTTTGAGCCAAATTTCCCATTTTTTGAAGCGACAATGATTTTTTGGAAAAATAAGAGGGAAATTTAAACTAAAATGGCAATTTGTGATGTAAAAATAGTAAATTAAGGAATAAGATAAAGTTGCTAGTAGTTTTCCATTTTTTGGAACAAATTTTTAATTTTTGAGCCAATCTATCAGTATTTTTTGAGCCAATTTTTCAATTTTTTGAAGCGACAATGATTTTTTTGTAAAAATAAAGACCGAGAGGAATAATTTTTACTAAAATGGCAATTTGTGATGCACAAATAATAAAGTAGAGAATAAGTACAACAAAAAGGCAAATAAATTTCAATTTTCGAGCCAATTTATGGTATTTTTTTGAAAGATAACTTTTTGAGCCAAATTTTCCATTTTTTTAATCAAAAGTATTATTTTAAAACCGGTATATTTTGAGAGGGTAAAATTTTCTACTTTTCAATCTAACTTGCCATTTTTGGGCCAATATTTTTCCATTTTCGAGCCAAACTCGTATTTTAAGAGAAAGACAACTTAATAGAAAATTGGACAAATTGAACACATTTTTACTCAAATTAGTAATTTTTGAGCCAGATTGGCAATTTTTTTAACCAAATTTGCAATTTTTGAGCCAAATTTGCAATTTTTGAGCCAAATTTGCAAATTGTGAGCCAAATTGGCATTTTTGAGCCAAATTTCCATATTTGGGCCAATTTTTTCGTTTTTTTGACCTTAATAGTTTAATAATAGTAAAATTGTTTCTAATACTGAAATTACTACATTAAATTCAACAGTTTCAAGAAAACTGCGGGGTTCTTTAATTCTCTAACCGAACCAAAAATATTATTTTCATTTATCTACCATATAAACTAGCAATTAAAGAATTTCCTACGTTTAAAAACTTAATTGTTTCTTATAGAACGGGTTTATCGGGGTGGATATCGCGCTAGGTTTCAACAAAGGCTTCGCGGGTCGCCTGTTAGCATCGAAAGGAATCCCAGGCGAACTTTTAACGCTCGAATAATGTTCGTACACCTCTTGCGACTTGTTCAATTTCGTGTTGATTTTCACTTTTTTCGTACTACTATTATTACCACCCGATTTCAAAAACGGATTTCCTACCAACCGAGAATCTAAACTCGACCTCGACTTTCCCTTGATCTTTTTCAGAGTGGTATTGATCAATTCGTGCACGGTTTTGTTCTGGTTCTTCGCCTGTTTCTTCAATTTGTTGACGTGCCTCTTCGACGGGATGCAGATCTCGTATTCGCCTTCCTGTAACGGTTCGTCCCAGGCGGATTTTTTAAATATTTCTTTAGCGTCTGGCGAAGAGGGGGATTCGAATAATTTGACTGGCGACATTCCTGCGAGAAACGAAACAAAAAAAAAGGTGGGGCGATAGTAGTGAAGAGAAAACTGGAGCGTGAGAGGTTTGAAATTAGAAAAACACAATTTTATTAAAAGAAAAAATTATTATTGAATTAATTTGTTACCGGTTTCGGTCTAAAGGGACATTATACGGTCTAAATAGCAATTATAAGGTCTAAAGGGTCGTTATCAGGTCTAAAACGAAATAGAAAACGTTGCAATTGTGTTAAATAATTTTTTTTAATGTAAAAATGTTTTACATATCTGTACATTTTTTAAGAAGTTAATTGATTACCGGTTTCGATTCAAAGGGCCATCATCAGGTCTAAAATGAAATAGGAAACGTTACAAATGTGTTAAATAATTTTTTTAACGAAAAAATGATCGTTTTAAGTTACTGTATATATTTTTTTTTATTAGCAATTAATTGACTACCGGTTTTGGCTCAAAGGGCCATCATCAGGTCTAAAACGAAATAGGAAACGTTACAAATGTGTTAAATATTTTTTTTTAATGATAAAATGTTCGTTTTATATTTTATATTATATTTTATATTTTTTTATTAGCAATTTCGGTTCAAAGGGCCATCATCAGGTCTAAAACGAAATAGGAAACGTTACAAAAGTGTTAAATAATTTTTTTTAATGAAAAAACGTTCGTTTTAAGTTTTTGTATATATTTTTATTATCAATGAATTGATTACTAGTTTCGGTTCTAAGGGCCATCATTAGGTCTAAAATGAAATAGGAAACGTTACAAATGTGTTAAATAATTTTTTTAACTCAAAAATTTTGTTTTAAGTATCTGTACGTTTTTTTATTAGCAATTAATTGACTACCGATTTTGGTTCTAAAGGGCCATCATCAGGTCTAAAACGAAAGAGGAAACATTACAAATGTGTTAAATAATTTTTTTTTAATGAAAAAACGTTCGTTTTAAGTTTATGTATATTTTTTTATTAGCAATTAATTGATTACTAGTTTCGGTTCTAAGGGCCATCATCAGGTCTAAAATGAAATAGGAAACGTTACAAATGTGTTAAATAATTTTTTTTAACTCAAAAATGTTGTTTTAAGTATCTGTACGTTTTTTTATTAGCAATTAATTGACTACCGATTTCGGTTCTAAAGGGCCATCATCAGATCTAAAACGAAATAGGAAACGTTACAAAAGTGTTAAATAATTTTTTTTAATGAAAAAACGTTCGTTTTAAGTTTTTGTATATATCTTTATTAGCAATTAATTGACTACCGGTTTCGGTTCAAAGGGTCATCATCAGGTCTAAAACGTAATAGGAAACGTTACAAATGCGTTAAATAGATTTTTTTTTAATGAAAAAATGTTCGTTTTAAGTTACTGTACATTTTTTTAACAGTTAATTGACCAGTTTCGGTTTAAAGGGTCATCATCAAGTCTAAAACGAAATAGGAAACGTTACAAATTTGTTGGATGAAAAAATTTTTAATGAAAAAATGTTCGTTTTAAGTTACTGTATATATTTTTTTAATAGCAATTCATTGACTACCGGTTTCGGTTAAAAGGGCCATCATCAGGTCTAAACCAAAATAGGAAACGTTACAAATGTGTTAAATTATTTTTTAAATGGAAAAATTATGTTTTAAGTTTCTGTACATTTTTTAGCAGTTAATTGACTAGTTTTCGGTTCAAAGGGCCATCATCAGGCCTAAAACGAAATAGGAAACATTACAAATGTGTTAAATAATTTTTTTAATGAAAAAATGTTCGTTTTAAGTTTCTGTATATTTTTTTATTAGCAATTAATTGACTACCGGTTTTGGTTCAAAGGGCCATCATAAGGTCTAAAATGAAATAGGAAACATTACAAATGTGTTAAATAATTTTTTTTAATGAAAAAATGTTCGTTTTAAGTTTCTGTTTATTTTTTTATTAGCAATTAATTGACTATCGGTTTTGGTTCAAAGGGCCATCATCAGGTCTAAAACGAAATAGGAAACATTACAAATGTGTTAAATAATTTTTTTAAAGAAAAAATGTTCGTTTTAAGTTTCTGTATATTTTTTTATTAGCAATTAATTGACTACCGGTTTCGGTTCTAAGGGCCATCATCAGGTCTAAAATGAAATAGGAAACGTTACAAGTGTTAAATGATTTTTTTTTAATGAAAAAATGTTCGTTTTTAGTTTCTGTATATTTTTTTTATTAGCAATTAATTGACTACCGGTTTCGGTTAAAAGAGCCATCATCAGGTCTAAAACGAAATAAGAAAAGTTACTAATTTGTTAAATATATTTTTTTAATGGAAAAATGTTGTTTTAAGTTTCAGTACATTTTTTTATTATTAATTAATTAATTACCGGTTTTTGTTCAAAGGGCCATCATCAGGTCTAAAACGAGACAGGAAACGTTACAAATGTGTTAAATGAATTTTTTTTAATAGAAAAATGTTTTGTTTCTGTACATTTTTTTTTTTTTAATAGCAATTAATTGACTACCGGTTTTGGCTAAAAGGGCCATCATTAGGTCTAAAACGAAATAAGAACATTACAAATGTGATTAATGAATTTTGTTAATAGAAAAATGTTTTCGGTTTCTGTACATTTTTTAAACAGTTAATTGACTGCTAGTTTCGGTTCAAAGGGCCATCATCAGGTCTAAAATGAAATAGGAAACATTACAAATGTGTTAAATAATTTTTTTTAATGAAAAAATGTTCGTTTTAAGTTTCTGAATATTTTTTTATTAGCAAATAATTGACTACCGGTTTTGGTTCAAAGGGCCATCATAAGGTCTAAAACGAAATAGGAAACGTTACAAATGTGTTAAATGATTTTTTTTAAAGAAAACATTTTGTTTTAAGTTTCTGTACTTTTTTTAGCAGTTAATTAATTGACTAACGGTTTCGGTTCAAAAGAGCCATCATCAGGTCTAAAACGAAATATAAAACATTACAAATATGTTAACTAAATTTTTTTAATGGAAAAATGTTATTTAAGTATCTCTATATTGTTTATTAGCAAATAATTGACTACCGGTTTCGGTTCAAAGGGCCATCATCAGGTCTAAAACTAAATAGGAAACATTATAAATGTGTTAAATAATTTTTTTTAATGAAAAAATGTTCGTTTTAAGTTTCTGTTTATTTTTTTATTAGCAATTAATTGACTACCGGTTTTGGTTCAAAGGGCCATCATAAGGTCTAAAACGAAATAGGAAACATTACAAATGTGTTAAATAATTTTTTTTTAATGAAAAAAATGTTCGTTTTAAGTTTCTGTATATTTTTTTATTAGCAATTAATTGACTACCGGTTTCGGTTCTAAGGGCCATCATCAGGTCTAAAACGAAATAGGAAACGTTACAAATGTGTTAAATGATTTTTTTTAAAGAAAAAATTTTGTTTTAAGTTTCTGTACTTTTTTTAGCAGTTAATTAATTGACTAACGGTTTCGGTTCAAAAGGGCCATCATCAGGTCTAAAACGAAATAGGAAACGTTACAAATGTGTTAAATGATTTTTTTAAAGAAAAAATTTTGTTTTAAGTTTCTGTACTTTTTTTAGCAGTTAATTAATTGACTAACGGTTTCGGTTCAAAAGGGCCATCATCAGGTCTAAAACGAAATATAAAACATTAAAAATATGTTAACTAAATTTTTTTAATGGAAAAATGTTATTTAAGTATCTCTATATTGTTTATTAGCAAATAATTGACTACCGGTTTCGGTTCAAAGGGCCATCATCAGGTCTAAAACTAAATAGGAAACATTATAAATGTGTTAAATAATTTTTTTTAATGAAAAAATGTTCGTTTTAAGTTTCTGTTTATTTTTTTATTAGCAATTAATTGACTACCGGTTTTGGTTCAAAGGGCCATCATAAGGTCTAAAACGAAATAGGAAACATTACAAATGTGTTAAATAATTTTTTTTTAATGAAAAAAATGTTCGTTTTAAGTTTCTGTATATTTTTTTATTAGCAATTAATTGACTACCGGTTTCGGTTCTAAGGGCCATCATCAGGTCTAAAACGAAATAGGAAACGTTACAAATGTGTTAAATGATTTTTTTAAAGAAAAAATTTTGTTTTAAGTTTCTGTACTTTTTTTAGCAGTTAATTAATTGACTAACGGTTTCGGTTCAAAAGGGCCATCATCAGGTCTAAAACGAAATATAAAACATTAAAAATATGTTAACTAAATTTTTTTAATGGAAAAATGTTATTTAAGTATCTCTATATTGTTTATTAGCAAATAATTGACTACCGGTTTCGGTTCAAAGGGCCATCATCAGGTCTAAAACTAAATAGGAAACATTATAAATGTGTTAAATAATTTTTTTTAATGAAAAAATGTTCGTTTTAAGTTTCTGTTTATTTTTTTATTAGCAATTAATTGACTACCGGTTTTGGTTCAAAGGGCCATCATAAGGTCTAAAACGAAATAGGAAACATTACAAATGTGTTAAATAATTTTTTTTTAATGAAAAAAATGTTCGTTTTAAGTTTCTGTATATTTTTTTATTAGCAATTAATTGACTACCGGTTTCGGTTCTAAGGGCCATCATCAGGTCTAAAACGAAATAGGAAACGTTACAAATGTGTTAAATGATTTTTTTAAAGAAAAAATTTTGTTTTAAGTTTCTGTACTTTTTTTAGCAGTTAATTAATTGACTAACGGTTTCGGTTCAAAAGGGCCATCATCAGGTCTAAAACGAAATATAAAACATTAAAAATATGTTAACTAAATTTTTTTAATGGAAAAATGTTATTTAAGTATCTCTATATTGTTTATTAGCAAATAATTGACTACCGGTTTCGGTTCAAAGGGCCATCATCAGGTCTAAAACTAAATAGGAAACATTATAAATGTGTTAAATAATTTTTTTTAATGAAAAAATGTTCGTTTTAAGTTTCTGTTTATTTTTTTATTAGCAATTAATTGACTACCGGTTTTGGTTCAAAGGGCCATCATAAGGTCTAAAACGAAATAGGAAACATTACAAATGTGTTAAATAATTTTTTTTTAATGAAAAAAATGTTCGTTTTAAGTTTCTGTATATTTTTTTATTAGCAATTAATTGACTACCGGTTTCGGTTCTAAGGGCCATCATCAGGTCTAAAACGAAATAGGAAACGTTACAAATGTGTTAAATGATTTTTTTAAAGAAAAAATTTTGTTTTAAGTTTCTGTACTTTTTTTAGCAGTTAATTAATTGACTAACGGTTTCGGTTCAAAAGGGCCATCATCAGGTCTAAAACGAAATATAAAACATTAAAAATATGTTAACTAAATTTTTTTAATGGAAAAATGTTATTTAAGTATCTCTATATTGTTTATTAGCAAATAATTGACTACCGGTTTCGGTTCAAAGGGCCATCATCAGGTCTAAAACTAAATAGGAAACGTTACAAAAGTGTTAAATGATTTTTTTTGTAATGAAAAAATGTTCGTTTTAAGTTTCTATATATTTTTTTATTAGTAATTATTTGACTATCGGTTTCGGCTCAAAGGGACATCATCAGGTCTAAGACGAAATACGAAATGTTACAAATGTGTTAAATGAATTTTTTTAATGGAAAAATGTTGTTTTAAGTATCTTTATATTGTTTATTAGCAAATAATTATCTACCGGTTTTGGTTTAAAGGACCATCATCAGGACTAAAACGAAATAGAAAACGTTAAAAATGTGTTATTTTTTTTTAAATTTGGAATTTTTTTAATAAAATCTGACATTTTGAATCAAAGTCGTCCTTTTTTTAAATCAATAAATTTTTCATTAGTTTAGCCAAATTGCCCATTTTTTGAGCGATAATGTACTTTTTTGAGAAATTGTTTTTTTAATTGTACCATATTAAGCATTTTTTTAATAAATTTAACGAATAGGCTATTTTTTGAGCCAAATTAGTAATTTTTGATAAACTTTTTCCATTTTTTTTTTTTCGTTTTTTAGAACAAATCTATAATTTTTTTTATCAAATTTTACATTTTTTAAGCCAAATACCATTTTTTTTGAGAAATTGTATTTTTAATATTGTCTAGTTTAATTACCAAGAGGATACTAATTACTAACGAAAAAAAAAAAAAAAATATTTAAAGCTGTTCCTGATGTATGGCAAATTTTGATTTTAGACTTTTAACACCCTGTATTTCGGTACTAGGCCCTTTAAAGGTTCATCTTCCTATATCAAAATTCATCAATTAAGAAAAGTTTTTTGAGGAAGAGCAAATATAGTAACATCAAGTATGAACGTTTAATTCTACGTAAATTTTATATTTTAGGTTTTTTTTAAGACTTTTTAAAATTTTCGTTTGTGTTTTTCTAATTTCGAACCAACCACCGATTTTTTTTATTTTTTTTTTTTAATAAAGTTTTATTAAGAACTAAGAAAGAAAAAAACAGTATGAAATTAACAATATTTAACCGTAACTAACCCAATTTTGGCGAATCATCTGCCGATAATAGCGATTCCGAAAATCTATTGCTGGCCGACTGATTCGGACTAGAGTGTTCCAACCTCGACATTTTGGATTCTTCGAAATCGCCTTTGCCTTGCTTCTTCGACGATTTTGCCGGCGAAAAATCGTCTTTAATAAGTTTGGACGATTTTGGCGATTTTACTATAAATTAAATAAGATTTTATTTTTATATTTGATCGAAAACACCGTTCAAATACAGCAAAGAATCTTTTAGTTTCGGTGTCAGAATAACATATCAAATAAAAAATGGCTAAACCAGACGATATAAACTTTTTTCCTGGGACCTTCCTGAACACAATGCAGAAAACCGCAACTTGATATCTGTTGTCCCTACAAATTTCCGCTATTTTTCCTAACTTCCCTGGACTATCTTATGACTTTTTGGAAACACTTTAATTACCTTGAATTTTGTATACGAGGTCTGATCAAAAAATTAAAATTTCGTGAGTTACGTATGTTCGATTTTCGCATTTTTTTTTCTGTTATGTTGGTACACATATCTGTTATATGTTATATATGTTGGCAATATCAGTCATTTTGGATTGTCAGTTTGTTTTTCACAGATAAAAAGGTTAGTCGTATTTTGGTGTGCTCTTCGATTTTTTACTATTCGAAAAAATGGATCAAAGAAACTGTATTAAGTTTTGTGTAAAAAATGAAATTAAATGCGCAAGGACATTTGAAATGTTGACTGTGGCGTTTAGCGAGTCTACTATGAGCAGAACACAAGTTCAATTGTGGTATAACCGGTTTAAGGAAGGCCCAGAAGATGTCAATGACGATGCTCGTCCTGGTCGCCCGAGCACGTCAACAACCGATGAAAACATTGAAGCAGTGAAGAAAATGATTTTGGATAATCGTCGAATCACTCTCAGAGAGGTTGCTGATGATGTTGGCATATCGTTTGGCTCATGCCAAGCAATTTTTACGGATGTTTTAGGCATGAAACGTGCGGCAGCGTAGATTGTTCCAAAATTGCTAAATTTTGAGCAAAAACAACGTCGCATGGACATCGCTCAGGAGCTGTTGAACATCGTCAACGACAATCCAGATTTCCTCAAAAAGGTTATAACTGGTGACGAATCATGAATGGTGACATTGAAACCAAAGCCCAATCATCCCAATGGAAGCGTCCAGAAGAGCCAAGAACGAAAAAAGCACGTCAAGTTCGGTCAAATGTGAAGGTTTTGCTCACTGTTTTCTTCGACTGCAATAGCGTGGTGCATCATGAATTCTTGCCACAAGGTCGTACGGTCAATAAAGAATACTACCTTGAAGTTATGCGCCGTTTGCGCGAAGCAATTCGTCAGAAACGCACAGAATTGTGGAAAAAACAATCATGGATTTTGCACCATGATAACGCACCAGCTTGTGCGTGAGTTTTTGGCCAAAAACAAAACCGTTATCATGCCTCAACCACCGTATTCACCGGACTTGGCCCCCGCTGACATTTTCCTCTTCCCAAAACTGAAGACACCGATGAAAGGAAAGCGTTTTGCTACGATTGAGGAGATAAAAGAAAAATCGAAACAGGAGCTGTTGGCGATACCAAAAAGCGCGTTTCGGAAGTGTTTCGAGGATTGGAAAAAACGCTGGCATAAGTGTATTATATCTGAGGGGGATTACTTTGAAGGGGACAAGATAGTTATTGATGAATAAATAAATAATTTTGAAAAAAATTGAAAATAATGGTTATTTTTTGATCAGACCTCGTAGATATTTTTTTCATAAAGTCGATAAAAAACGAGTTATTTTATAAAAACTATACAACATAAAAAGTAATTTCGATTTAATGCAAAACAAAGTTCAATAGGGACCATGCGTGAAATATACAGTATGGTGCAAATGAAAGGAATAAATTCATTATAATGGAAGTAGTTGGTTTTTTGAAAAAATGCTCGGACAGGTCAATTTTGTTTAATTAAAGCGCAATTTTTTAAATAGAATTCAATTTTCCCCCACTTTCCATTTTTGGACAGTGACGTCATTGACAATTTTTTTAAATGGTAACCCCAATTTTTTTTCTTGATTTTGAGAGATCTTGCAATTTCCTACTCGGAAACATAATATTTGTAATATCTGACATAACAATTTTTTTTGAATAAAAGTCATTTAAAGATCAGATACATAAATTTTATTTTATTTTGAAACACAATAAATTAATAAAAAATTATTTGTAATTAAGTGCTTCATCTAAAAAAAAAAATAATAATAAAAAGAATTTATTGACAATTTCACAAATTCTTTTTTATTATTATTATTATTATAATTATTATTATTATTATTATTATTATTATTATTATTATTATTATTATTATTTTGTTAGATTAAGCACTTATTACAAATAATTATCTTTTAATCAATTATTGTGTTCTCAAAATAAAATAAAATTTATGTGTCTAATCTTTAAATGACTTTTATTCAAAAAAAATTGTTATGTAAGACATTTCAAATATTATGTTTCCGAGTAGGAAATTGCAAGATCTAACAAAATCAAGAAAAAAAAATTGGGGTTACTATTTAAAAAAATTGTCAATGACGTCACTGCCCAAAAATGGGAAGTGGGGGAAAATTGAATTCTATTTAAAAATCTGCGCTTTGAGTAAACAAAATTAACCTTTTCGAAAAACCAACTACTTCCATTATAATGAATTTATTCCTTTCATTTGAACCATACTGTAGAAGCAGCACCATTGCCTAAGTTGGCCCTCTCTAGTATTAAATTTTCGAATTAAATGGGGTAAGGTTATTTTTTAAAATATTAAATATTCTATATATAAGATTGTTTGTCCTGACTGACTGACTGACCTATCAGCGTACAGCCAAAACTACTCAGCCTAGAAAGCTGAAATTTGGAACATAGGTTTATTTTATAACGTAAGCATCCGCTAAGAAAGGATTTTTCAAAATTTTAACTTTAAAGGGGGGAAATTGGAGGAAATGGGGGAAGGGAGCTTTTAATACAACTCTTTGTTCTTTAAAGTTAGAAACATGAAAATTGGAATTGCAGCTACTGACTACAAATTATTAATGACGTGTTTCAGGGTTTTTGAATTTTCACATTTTAAGGGGGGGAAATGGGGGGTGAAAATTTATTTGTGGGTATCTATGTTTTTGGTTCTCTTTAAAGTTAGAAACATGAAAATTGGAATTGCAGCTAATGAATACAAATTAATAATGACGTGTTTTAGGGTTTTTGAATTTTCACATTTTAAGGGGGAGAAATGGGGGGTGAAAGTTTATTTGGAGATATCGATTTTTTTAAAGGTAGGAACTTGAAAATTGTAGGTTCTCATCATAAATAAATAATGAAGTGTTTCAGGATTTTTGCATTTTAACATTTTAAGGGGGGAAATTTGTTTAATAGAATGTATATATTTTTTTGTTATTTAAAGTTTGAATCATTAAAATTTGAATTACAACTACTGATTAAAAATCAAAAATGATGTGTTGCATGGTTTTTGAATTTTCACATTTTAAGTGGGGAAACGGGCGTAAAAAATTATAATTGTAGCATAAATAAATAATGACGTGCTCTGTGGTTAGATAAACGAATAAAAATTAATAAAAATGAATGAAAATGAATAAAAATGAATAAAAATAAATAAAAATGAATAAAATAGTTAAAAATGATTAAAAATGAATAAAAATGAATAAAAATTATTAAAAATGAACAGAAATGAATAAAAATGAATAAAAGTGAATAAAAATAAATAAAAATGAGTAAAAATAAATAAAAATGAATAAATATAAAAAAAATAAATGAAAATCAATAAAACTAATAAAAAGTCATGTATTTTTACTTTTCTATCTGTATACAGATATAAGGAAAGTATAGGAATCATGATTTTTTTCGACCTCGAGTTTTCGACGGATTTTTACGTTTTGAGGTCCCCTGAATCCGTTTTGACTATTTTCGCGATGATGTCTGTGTGTGTGTGTGTCTCTGTGTGTGTGTGTGTCTGTATAACGCATAACTCATGAACCGATACACGGAAAAACACCAAATTTTAAACTTAAGCTTTCTTCGAGCGTCTAATGAGCTGATTAGATTTTGGGCAGAGTCGGAACATCTGGGGGGGTACTTTATAGGTGGTCATTTTAATATTTTATGGAATATATCTGTTATTTACGTTTGGAGAAGAAAATTCTTCAAATGAAAGTTACTTCTTATTTTATTATCTATAATTTTTGTTATATACAAAATTTTCCTAAAATGGTCCGTATTCGCGAAATTTGACAAAATGTAAAAAAATATTTTTTTTTATAAAAATTGTTCAAACAAAAGTTGTTTGTAATATAATTCTCTATAATTTTTATCCTATAGATAATTTCTCTAAAATGGACCGTATTCGAGATATTTGAGAAAATGTGTAAATTTCGAAATTTGAAGAAAACTCAAAAACGGATAAAGAAAAAAAAACATTAAATTTTAAACTTAAGTTTATTTTGGCCTGACGTGAAATGATTAGATTTTGGACAAAGTCGGAACATCTGGGGGGGTACTTTATGGGAGGCCGTTTTTATATTTTATGGAATATATCTGTTATTTATGTTTGGAGAAAAAAATTGTTCAAATAAAAGTTACTTCTAATATTATTATCTATAATTTTTGCTTTATGTAAAAATTTCCTGAAATGGTCCGTATTCGAAAAATTTGACAAAATGTGCAAAATTCTGATTTTTATGAAAATTGTTGAAATAAAAGTTGTTTGCGATATCGATCTCTATAATATTTGTTCATACATGATTTTTTTAAAATGGACCGTAATGGAAAAATTGTAGGAAAAGTGCTAAATTTAAATGTTTCAGTATTTTCATTTTCAAAGAATATCTATAGAAAAATGTTTCGCGGTAGATGTATGTGGACAATGTATATATTTAGTTTATCCTCTAAACATTTATAGAGATGCTGCAATAGGTTGTACAAAATAACCGGAAAAAGCCTGTAATAACTAGATAGGAAAGTCATGTGTTGGACACATCAGATTTTTTTATATTAATAACACGACTACATACGAGCAAAGCCGCGGGCAACAGCTAGTGCTTTTATATTTCACGCACAGTCCCTATAGTGTACACAAAAAATGTTGTAAGCCCATTGTACAACAACCAATAAAATTGACCCTTTAAACCTTCTACAGGGCTCGGAAAACTTCGGGAATCATCAGGTAAAAACGCAGAGAGATACATCGTTTCGAATCAGTAAATAAAAAATATCACCTCTCTTTAAACACAATATTGATATGCTATTTCTGACACCTCGAAAGACAATTGAAGGGGTTAAGTGGATGAAGGGGTTATGTAACATTTTTAATCCTATTTTTTGTTGATGAAGAATTAATTAAGTTTACATGTGTTTTGCCTTGGTCTGGTCTTGTGAGTCTAATTAGTTCATAATCGCTCTTACCAACTCACAAAAACGCATTTTAAAGACATTTTTCACTAAAAATTCCAATGAATCAAATTAAATAGTTAATTGCTCAAAAACTATTTGTTATAACATAACCCCTTCCACTTACCCCTTCAACTGTTATATAGTCCTTGGGAATAATAGTTGGGGTGATAAAAGAAAAAACTTACCAATATTTTCTGAATTTTCTAGATCATACACCACCCAAGTGCCCGAATTCCTTTTAAATATACATTCTATATTTTCATTGGAATCTCTGCGCTCCCTGTTTTTCCTCAATTTCTTTCCAGCCGTTATTATTTGCACGTCCTTGTTTTTTAATTTATTTTTCGCTTTTATTACGTTACTTTTGATTTTAATCTCGTCTATCGGGACGTACGATTTATTTTTCGTTTTCGTCTTTTCGTCGATTTTATCAGATTTCCTTTTGCGCTTCTTATCGAAATTTTCGTCCAGTTTCGATTTATTCGATGCGGTTTCTTCTAGAACGTTTTTCTTTTTACTTTTCTTCACTTTGACGCTTCCCTCGCCATTTACTACGACTTCCTCGTTTTTCTTGTTTTTCAGCTTCTTATTCGAAGTATTCGAATCAGATTCGTCGCTGGATTGAATTTTCGCGCGTTTTTTCTCTACAACTTCCTCGGAATTGTTTTCCTTATCGCGCTTTCTTTTTTTAGTTTTCTTGCCGGAAATTTTTTGATCGTACTTTATCAAGCTGGTGGCGGCTTTACGAATATTTATATAATCATCCTTGTCATTTGTTTCTATTTTTTTAACCCCAAGTGGATACACTCCTTTAGCCAAACTGGTGAATCTAAAATAAACCGAAAAGTTAAAAATTTTGGCGCCCAACGTGGGGCCAAATATCGACTTACTGGTTCGCTATGACTTTCATCATATTTCTCGATTGCGCCGACGTGTTCGCGTCGAATTTGTACTCTAATACGGCTTTGGCTATGTCGATGCTTTTGAAATTTAGTTGCGGAATTTCGACGTCGACTCGTCCAGCTCTGGGATCGAGAGGTTTATCTTTTCTATTCGCGGTCTTTTCAATAACGATTTCTTCATCTGAAGAATCGTCGTTTCGATCTATTTTTATCTTTTGCATGGAGTCTATGTGGCCGGGAAAACCTTGCTAAAATATATATTAAATTCATATTTTCATCAATTAACCTCTAAAATTCGGCAGTGTGAGAACATTTCGTTAAAATATTAATATATTACATGAAGAAGAGACATTTTTAATACATTTGGAAGGTAAAAAGTGCATGCAGGCCTTGCCGGTAACTAGGAAATTAAATCACAGTGCTCTATTCTATCAATATTAGCTTAAACGCGTTCACAGTCTTACATGTGAGAAATATTCATAAGCCATTTTAAATCATCACAAATTATCATTAATAAATATTATAAATAATAAGGGACGCAGGTTCGAACCCTGGGGTACTCCTGATTTGGCGATGTACTCCAATGATTTGAAACCATTTATATACTCCTACTGTTTACGAAATTAAAGAGATAGAAACAGTTTTAGGAGGGAATCATGAAATATACACATTTTCGGAATCTACGCGAAGAGTTCTATAAAATCGGATGAAAATCAGACATTTATAAGGTGATTGAGGAATTTCCCGTAGAGATGGACAAAAAAGCAACATATTTTTGGAAAGTACACCTGAAAAACTATAATTATAACTACTTCCCGCAAAGATTGAAAAAAAGCAACACTGGAAAGTACTCCTCAAAAACTATGACTTAACTACTTCCCGCAGAGATTGACAAAAAGCAGCACATTTTTGAAAAAGTACACCCCAAAAACTGTAACTTAACTACTTCCCGCAGAAATTGACACAAAAGCAACACATTTTTGGAAAGTACGCATCAAAAACTATAACTACTTCTCGCAGATACTGATAAAAAAGCAATATATTATTGGAAAGTACGCCTCAAAAACTAAAACTATAACTACATCCCACAAAGATTGACAAAAATCAACACATTTTTGGAAAGTACGCCTCAAAAACTAAAACTTAAATACCTCCCGCAGAGATTGACATAAAGCAAGACGTTTTAGGAAAGTACGCCTCAAAAACTAAAACTACATCCCGCAGAGATTGACCAAAAAGCACACATTTTTGAAAAGTACACCCAAAAAACAATAAATTTTTGGGTTATACACCCCAACAACTGTAACTTAACTACTTCCCGCAGAAATTGACACAAAAGCAACACATTTTTGGAAAGTACGCCTCAAAAACTATAACTACTTCTCGCAGATACTGAAAAAAAGCAATATATTATTGGAAAGTACGCCTCAAAAACTAAAACTATAACTACATCCCACAGAGATAGACAAAAAACAACACATTTTTGCCAAAATATGAAAAATTCGTTTTTATGAGATGAAAATCTGTATATTGAGGTTTTTGGGGTAGATGATTTTGAATATGACATTAAAAATTCGAAATACAAAATGGCGTATCTAATATGGCGCCCAATAATAATAAAAATGTTCATTTTGCATAAAAATGAAACCTAAAAGATCTCTAAGGGGTTTTTGGAGTCGCTGATTTTGAATATGATATTAAAATTAGAAATATAAAATGGCGGATTCAATATGGCCTCCGAAAATATTAAAAATTACTCGTTTTGAATAAAAATGAAACTTGCAAGGTTTCTATTGGGTTATTGAGGTCACTGATTTTGAATATATTAAAAATTAGAAAAATAAAATGGCGTATCCAATATGGCGCCCGATAATAAAAAACGCTCGTTTAGCATAAAAATGGAACCTAAAGGACTTCTAAGACGTTTTTGGGGTCGCTGATTTTGAATGACATTAAATTTAGAAATATAAAATGGCGGATCCAATATGGCCTCCGAAAATATTAAAAAAATTACTTGTTTTGAATAAAAAAGAAACTTGCAATGTTTCTAAGGGGTTGTTGGTGTCACTGATTTTCAATATGATGTCAAAAATTGGAAATACAAAATGGCGTATCCAATATGGCGCCCTATAATAATAAAAAAATGTTCATTTTGCATAAAAATGAAACCTATGTTTGGTTTTTGTGGTCGCTGATTTTGAATTTGACATTAAAATTAGAAATATAAAATGGCGGATTCAATATGGCCTCCGAAAATATTAAAAATTACTCGTTTTGAATAAAAATGAAACTTGCAAGGTTTCTAACGGGTTGTTGGGGTCACTCATTTTGAATACATTAAAAATACAAAATGGCGTATCCAATATGGCGCCCGATAATAATAAAAATGCTAGTTTCGCATAAAAATCAAACTTGTAGTGTTTCTAAGGGGCTTTGGGGCCGCTGATTTTGAATATGACATTAAAATTAGAAATATAAAATGTCGGATCCAATATGGCCTCCCGAAAATGTTAAAAAATTGCTTATTTTGAATAAAAATTAAACTTGCAAAGTTTCTATGAGGTTGTTGGGGTCACTGATTTTGAATATGATATTAAAAATTATAAATACAAAATGGCGTATCCAATATGGCACCCGATAATAAAAAATGTTCGTTTTGCATCAAAATGAAACCTGAAGGGTTTTTTAAAAGGTTTTGGGGTCGCTGATTTTGAAAATGGCGAATCCAATATGGCCTCCGAAAATATTAAAGAAATTGCTTGTTTTGAATAAAAATTAAACTTGCAAGGTTTCTAAGGTTTTTTTTGGGAGTCACTGTTTTTGAATATGACATTAAAAATCCGAAATACAAAATGGCGTATCCAATATGGCGCCCGATAATAAAAAATGCTCGTTTGCATTAAAATGAAACTTGAAGAGTTTCTAAGAGGTTTTGAAGTCTCTGATTTTGAACGACATTAAAATTAGAATATAAAATGGCAAATCCAATATGGGCTCCGAAAATATTAAAAAAATGCTTGTTTTGAATAAAAATGAAACTTGCAAGGTTTCTAAGGGTTTGTTGGGATTCCTGATTTTGAATATATTAAAAATTATAAATACAAAATGGCGTATTCAATATGGCTCCCGATAATAATAAAAATGCTAGTTTCGCATAAAAATCAAACTTGTAGGGTTTCTAAGGGGGTTTTGGGTCTCTGATTAAAATTAGAAATATAAAATGTCGGATCCAATATGGCCTCCGAAAATATTAAAAAGATTGCTTGTGTTAAATAAAAAATGAAACTTGTATAGTTTCTAAGGGGTTTTTGGGGTCACTGATTTTGAATATGATATTAAAAATTAGAAATACAAAATGGCGGATCCAATATGGCCTTCGAAAATATTAAAAATTGCCTGTTTTGAATAAAAATGAAACCTGGAATGTTTCTAAGTGGTTTTTTGGGGTAACTGATTTTTAATATGACATTAAAAATGCAAAATTGTAATAATTTGCATTATTCAATGACTCATAAAATTTGATATCTGATGGTTGTAGTTTAGGTTTTAGACCATGCACACTTTTTTATAAAGGATACATTTTTTTCTATAATTAATAAAAAAGTTATTATTCATAAAAAGTTCTTTATCACCTAAAACCTAAAATTCAATCATCTGATACCAAATTTTATCAGTCTTATAAGAGGTTTCTCAAAAATAGAATTTTTTTTTCGTAAAAAAGTTTCCCATATGCTGTGAACACACTATAGTAATCACACGGTCAAATCTTAGACTAGGAATATTTACCTGTCTCCATGCTTCATATTTTTCCTGATATTCCAATCCCAACTTAGACTGTCTGATTAGATAAGTGAAAATAAATTTTTTTAAATGCCTTAATTGCCTCGCGTCATTCGAATGCGCTAAACATTTAATGAAAGGTTTGATAAACTCTAAAACCAAGGGCGATTGAAGTTTACCCCTGGATACCTGTAATACATCAAATTCGACAATAGTAGAATATTAAAATTAAATATTATGTATGTTACCTTTGCGAGTTCTTCCAAAAAAATTTCTACGAAATGCATGAATAAGCCTACAGGCGTTTTGTTTGCTTTGTTTAATATGGTGTCAGATATGACTTCGTTGAAACGTTCAATAGCATCTTTACTATAACTGGTATTTTTAATGGCGATGAAAGTTTCCCTCAAAAGTCTTCTTACAAGCTGGAATTATCAAAGCAAAATAACCCGTTTATTACAGTAATTACAAATAATCTGAAGGAGTGATGTTTGCAACACTTTGTATTGTTTAAATACTGTCATCTGAACCATATTTGTTCAATTCGCTCATCCTATAAGTCCCTTTCTGCCTTATTTGGGCCTATTAGTGCCTCTAACGTTCCCGTTGCCAAAAATATTCGATTAAACAATTCACATCTTGAACTACCTTTAATACGCCTTTGTTATGTCAACGCCTGATGAACTAGCTTCTAGAAACTGCCAGAAACGATATAAATGCTAGTCTGGTCTAGTCTAGAACGTCTGGTATATTCGAGAAAGTGTGGCGCGTCACATTTTTATATAAATATCCCAACTAGCATCTAGAAGTTACCGGAAACGATGCAAAATCTAGTCTGGTCTAGTCTAGAACGTCTGGTATATTCGAGAAAGTGTGGCGCGTCACATTTTTATATAAATATCCCAACTAGCCTCTAGAAGTTACCGGAAACGATGCAAAATCTAGTCTGGTCTAGTCTAAAACGTCTGGTATCTTCGAGAAAGTCTGGCGCGTCACATTTTTATATAAATATCCCAATTAGCCTCTAGAAGTTTCCGGAAACGATGCAAATTCTAGTCTGTTCTAGTCTAGAACGTCTGGTATATTCGAGAAAGTGTGTCGCGTCACATTTTTATATAAATATCCCAACTAGCCTCTAGAAGTTACCGGAAACGATGCAAATTCTAGTCTGGTCTAGTCTAGAACGTCTGGTATCTTCGAGAAAGTCTGGGGCGTCACATTTTTATATAAATACCCCAACTAGCCTCTAGAAGTTACCGGAAATGATGCAAATTCTAGTCTGGTCTAGTCTAGAACGTCTGGTATCTTCGAGAAAGTCTGGCGCGTCACATTTTTATATTAATATCGCAACTAGCCTCTAGAAGTTACCAGAAACGATGCAAATTCTAGTCTGGTCTAGTCTAGAACGTCTGGTATATTCGAGAAAGTGTGGCGCGTCACATTTTTATATAAATATCCCAACTAGCCTCTAGAAGTTACCGGAAACGATGCAAATTCTAGTCTGGTCTAGTCTAGAACGTCTGGTATCTTCGAGAAAGTCTGGCGCGTCACATTTTTATATAGCCAACTAGCCCTTAGAAGTTACCGAAAACGATGCAAATTCTAGTCTGGTTTAAACTAAAACGTCTGGTATCTTTGAGAAAGTCTAACGCGTCACATTTTTATATAAATATTCCAACCAGCTTCTAGAAGTTACCGGAAACGATGCAAATTCTAGTCTGGTCTAGTCTAGAACGTCTGGTATCTTCGAGAAAGTCTGGCGCGTCACATTTTTATATAAATACCCAACTAGCCTCTAGAAGTTACCGGAAACGATGCAAATTCTAGTCTGGTCTAGTCTAAAACGTCTGGTATCTTCGAGAATAAGTATGGCGCGTCACATTTTCATATAAATACCCCAAGTTTGCCGATTAACTTAGGTATATGATTAGAAATCGATTTGAGATATAAATAATGTAGGATTGAGCACAAATAAATTTAGTAACTTACCATTAAAAATTTGTCTAATCTCAATTGCTGTATCCCACTCCATTCTTGACTAAGTATATACAAACCTGCTTTGAAAAATAGTAACGACGTAAATATATTTGGAAAATGGACCAGCTTTGATATTTTGTCTGCACACTCTTCCTAAAAATAAATAATACATGTTTTGTTCTAGATACGAAATTATAAATCTTCCGCATCAAACAAAAATGTGCAAAAACGGAAAATTGTTTAGAAAAGTTAATACCAAACTGGACAAATAAAAAATGTCTGTGGATTATTTATTATTTTATTATTATTTATAATTTTCCCAACACTACTTTTGATTTGCCCAAAGCTTTTGACACAATTGAGACATAATTTTAAAATGACTTATTTATATACACGTCAGATATGTCTAAAAGTAAATCAGAGAGGTACCACAAAGCTCAGTTTTGGGACCGCTAATATTTTTGTTATATGTGAATGATCTTCTTCAAGAAGTGTCTGCCATACTTTATGCCATTAATACAACTTCGGTATCTCATGCTACTTCTTTTTTCAAACGTAGGAGAATTTATTTCTTTCAGGATTTTCATGTGAAAAGTCAACGTGGACAGTATTTTTAAACCCACTGAGAGACCAAGAGAAACAGTTCGTAATAAAGACATTTGAGGAAAAATAGCGTTGGTAATGACGATATGAAAAAAGGTTTTAAATAGAATGTGTGCAAAATATTTGTATCTTTAATTCATACTTTTTGATTAGATGGGCATCCGCGGAGATATTTAGAACTGTACTAGAAAATTCGAGGAAAATGTACTAAATTTTATGTGGACTGTCATTTGTCAAAACTGTCACGTATATTGTCAGTTGTCATGTCAAATGTCAACTGTAAAATGGATGGGCGTTATTTGTTTTTGTTGTTTATGTACTTTGAAAAATTGGAATTGAAATATACCACTGTAATATACCGATACGTTAATATGAATATAATTTTGTTTTAAATTTTATTTTAATCAAGTTTAAAAGCAAGTTTTTATATTTTTATCAAGGTAGGTAAAAATAAATTGTAGGATCATAACCCAGTCACTGACACCATGATTCTGCGCAATAGATAATTTGGTGGTCTCAATAATCTACTGCGCAAAACCCTGGAGTCGGGGTCGAGTTTCTGATCGTTATTGGAATAAACCTTATATAAAATCCTTTTTCTTTAGGGAAAATACCGCCAATATTTACAATACTTACCCTTATATCGGAAAACTTTGGCTTTCTATCATAGATGGTGCCACAAAGATTATCAGAATTTCAAATTGTACTAAATTTAGTACAATTGTACTGAAACGGCAGCCCTGACTGGAACCAACCATCCAATCTTAAAACTATATGACACATGTATGTGCCAGACACGCCCAGAAACTGAAGCCAAAACACATCTGTCGTCGCTTAACCGCACTGAACTTATTTTTATTTAATCATTGTAGGGTCATTGTCACACATATGTGACCATCAGTACCTGGAAAAAGCTGCTTGTCACATATATGTGACGCGTGATCGTCAACGGTTTTGTTTGAATTAACAATTAAGGAATTTCTATAACACCATGATGTAAACTCATTAGATAAAACATTAATTTACTAATTAATCCATCTACTGATTGTGCGTTGGTGGCAATTATTGTGTCATCTGCATATAAAATTAAGTTTTCTAAGTTAATATGATTAGGCATATCATTTATATAGCATAGAAAAATTAGAGGTACTAAAATTGATCCCTGAGGCACACCCATATCAACACTTTCTAGTTCAGATTTACAATTTCCGACTTTGACATAGATCTGTGTTATTTATATAAGATGACAACCAAGACAAAAAGTTACCTCTAAAACCAAGCCCTTCCAATTTTTGAATAGCGACATCTAAGTTGATTGAATCAAACGCCTTTGATAAATCAAAGAAAAGCGCACCCAAAAACAACTTTTGATTGATAAAAGTATGTATGAAATTAAAAAGATCTATTGCTGCACTTTCAGTAAATTTTTCTGGAAGGAATCTATTTTGATTTTTGCATATTATTTCATATTTTTTAAGAAATATTAGCATTTTTTTGTGGACACATTTTTCAAAGATTGTAGGCACTGTAATAGGTCTATAATTATCAATTAAATTATTATCTTTTCTGAGGATAGGAGTTACATATCCTACTCTCAGATAATCTGGGAAAATACCTAGCTGAATAGAGTGATTAAGTCTGCTAGAATTTGAGAGACGTGATGACTAATACGTTTTATTATCTTTGTTGAAATGCAGTCAATGCCCATAAAGTTAACATTTTTTAATGAGTGAATAACTTCAATTACATCATGATGATCAACAGGAGAGAAGTAAAAGGTCTGAGAGACACATGACGCAGTAAAATTTTTAAAATTCAAATCATTGAAATGAGACTATAGTGCTTTTTTTGTGGAGGTGGCAAAATGTTTTGCAAAAAATTTAGTTATTTCTTTTGGTTCAATAATTGACAGTCCTCCTACTTCAATTTGTTTAACTTGAGAACATTATGATGTTTTACCTTCTTGGTGATTTACCTGTTTCCATATATATTTTTGTTTTTGCTGAAAAGTTTTATTGTGCAATCCCTTTTGAAAATGAGATCTTTTTGCTCCATTTATATTATTGACAAATTGTCTCTTTGCTTCTTTGTATCTAATATGTATATTCACATCATTAGAATTTTTTACTAACCAAAATAAATTCCTTATATCAGCTTCCATCTTCAAAATATCTGGAGTCATCCAGTTATTTTTTTATTTGTCTTTACAGCTCTTGTGACAACCGAACGATTTACTTCTATATAGTAATTCGGGCCACCTTTGATATCTAGGGCATCTACCGCTGACATAATCGTCCTTCCTCAGTGCACCCAGTTCCCACAAAAGGGAGTCGTAGCTCAAAAAACACGATTTTAGGTAGTTTTTCGCTGTTGCCATGGAAACGGCCAAACAGATTTTGATGCCGATTTTTTCTAAAAAGCGTCTCGCGGGTCTACATCTTCGACCCAAGTTTCATCGAAATCGCTTCCACCGTTCGGACGGTACGATTTCTTAAAGTCACCCGGAAACCCTTGATACGAAATTTGGCCGAAAAAAAATGACGCCCGAGGAAATTTTTGTGTGCGTAGCAAGTTAGAGAGGGGCAAAGGGTGTTTGAGAAAAATATTAAAAAAATTATTCGTTTGTAATAAACCATCGAAAAAGCAAAAAGAAATTTTCAAAACGTCATAAAAAAAGTGACAGTTGACAGGTGAAAAATTTAATACCGATTCGGGCCACCTTTGATATCTAGGGCATCTATCACTGACATAATCGCCCTTCCCCAGTGCACCCAGTTCCCACAAAAGGGATCCGTAGCTCAAAAAACACGATTTTAAGTAGTTTTTCGCCGTTGCCATAGAAACCGCCAAACAGATTTTTACGCGGAATTTTTTTTAGAAGCGTCCCGTGGGTTTACATCTTCGAGCCAAGTGTCATCGAAATCGCTTCAACCGTTCGGACGGTACGATTTTTTAAAGTCGCCCGGAAACCCTTGATACGAAATTTGGCCGAAAAAAAATGACGCCCGAGGAAATTTTTGTGTGCGTAACAAGTTAGAGAGGCGCAAAGGGTGTTTGAGAAAAATATTAAAAAAATTATTCGTTTGTAATAAACCATCGAAAAAGCAAAAAGAAATTTTCAAAGCGTCATAAAAAAGTGACAGTTGACAGGTGAAAAATTTAATACCGATTCGGGCCACCTTTGATATCTAGGGCATCTACCACTGACATAATTGCCCTTTCCCAGTGCACCCAGTTCCCACAAAAGGGATCCGTAGCTCAAAAAACACGATTTTCGGTGCTTTTTTGCCGTTGCCATGGAAACCGCCAAACAGATTTTTACGCGGAATTTTTTACACCTTCGGGCCAAATTTCGTCAAAATCGCTCTACCCGTTCCTAAGATATAATTTTTTAAATAATTTTGGAAACCCTATTTTAAATTTTTTCTCAATAAAAAGAAATATTTTTATTTATATTATTGACAAATTGTCTCTTTGCTTCTTTGTATCTAATATGTATATTCACATCATTAGAATTTTTCTAACCAAAATAAATTCCTTATATCAGCTACCATCCTCAAAATATCTGGAGTCATCCAGTTATTTTTTTTTATTTGTCTTTACAGCTCTTGCGACAACCGAACGATTTACTTCTATATAGTAATTTAGAATATTTAAGAATGTTTCGTAGGCAAGATTTATGTTATCAAAATATTCATACACAGAATCAAAATTTTCAGAACTTATTTTTTGCTGCAGATTAAGTAAATTCGCCTTTTGTCAGTACAAATTCTAGTTGGTTCTCTATTTAAACAATGCAAGTTAAAACACTCCATCAAATCAACTAATATAACTTTTTCTTGTGAATCTTTTAAAAAATCAATATTGAAATCTCCACAAATGATACATTTGAAATGACTATAACAATATTTAAAAAGCATATACATCTTATTAAAAAACGTATCAAGATTACCTGTTGCATCCAAAATTATTTTTAAATAAATAAATTAAAAAAACTGACTATCAGTGATTTGCAAGTCTATACCCTAACTACTGAGGCACCCACGCCCGAAATATTATCTTTATTTAGATAAATGACAAACATAATGAAATAAATGTGTATTTTTTTAATGAATTAATATAGAAATGCTTTATTTTATGTACTTAACAAGTGAATATGCACAGTAATTTATGTTTTACTTAACAAGAGGTAACCATTGCACTTCTTTGATAGCTATTTCAATATTAAGTTAAGCAAAAATAAACAACACCGTCCCAAAAAATCGCATTACCTGCAAAAAAAGCAAAACTCGAAAAAATCACAAAATTAGCAATTACTCGAAAACAATAAAGAATTGGACAGGTGTTCATATTAATTTATTTGTTGGAAATCAACTCCCTATCTCCTGTTTCAATTCATGACTTTTGGGAGGTCTAACAAAAGTTGGTTTAAATATATAGAATAGATGATTTCAACGGAAGACTTCTTGAAGTTGCAAGGTCATTGGAAGATCTTTGCGCCATCTATAAGTTTACATAACAACTAATAAAATAAAAAAGAAAACTGTAAATTATTATTTTGGCAATCTGTTTAAGGTTACGGCGTCGATATTCATTTTTTTTCTTTGTCTTCTTTATTAGTTGTACGTGCTCAGTTTTTCACCATCTCTATCTACTTAGTGCCAGGTCCCAGAGTCTTTTTTTTTTCTTAGTCATGTGTCATATAAAAATAAATATAAAAATTTGTAAAAACATAAAACAAATGTATTTATCATTGTTTTTTTTTGTATTATTATGTTCTGTTGTTACATACATAAATATTTACAAAAACCCCTATGTATCTCTTTTTAATTTGTTAATTGCTTTAGTGGTTACTGGAAATGTTGTGTGGATCAATGTCCCAACAACTAAAAAAGAAGAAATGTATGCTGACGCCGCCGTAACTTTAGACAGATTGCCAAAATAATAATTTACAGTTTTCTTTTTTATTTGTTGTTATATAAACTTATAGATGGCGCAAAGATGCAATGACCTTGCAACTTCAAGATGTCTTCAGTTGAAATCATATATTATACTAAATCCTGTACTTAATTAGACAAATATTTTTAAACTAGACACTAATTTTCATAAATTTTGTATCATTTAACCAATATATTCCTTTTAATCAAAGTAAATGCTAACTACTTGGATTATTGCAATCTGTAATCTTTTTATTAAATAAATACTTTAATACCATTATGACTTTAGAAAAGAAAATGTATATAAGAACAACCAGGAAGCAAACATACTAGATGAAAATTTTCCGGATGCCAATAAAATGCCAGTCACAACATAATCCAAACAGGAGAATATGACAATAAAAACATCAAGACTGAAGAAATCAGAATTAATCATGGCAAACAAAAACTTCATACTAATGCATTTCAATATACAAGGTATACAGAAAAAATTTAAGTGAACTAGAACACATTCAAAAAAAGAATAAAGTAGATATATGTTGTTTTTCAAAACATTGGCTAAATGCTAATGAAATTGATATGTTAAGAGCTTTGTGATTATTTTCTGATAACTAAGTATTGTAGGACATAATATCAAAGGGGTGGAGTCTCTATTTATGCAAAAAGTAGTATGTTAACGTATTTAAAACAAGTAAATGTACCTTAAAAGTTTCTTCTGCATATCATATATGAGCACTAACAAAACTATTGTTTTAAATGTTTAGAATTTCTCAATAATAATAATCTAATAAGTTTTACAAATAAGGGTGATATGAATACCCTTTAGTGAAAATTAAAAAATTATATAATTTTTTGTAATAAATTTTATAAATACATTTTTAAGGGCACATAACAGCTAAATTGAATCCACTATCAGACCTAATGTTAAATAGATAATAGTTATTTGTTAATTAAAATGTATAACCACGTAAAATGTATAACTGTTCAATGGTAATATATGGAAAATCTGTTAGAAGTACGTACCTGGACTAATGGTTTGTCGGACATCCACATGCAATAATATAAACCTTTCCATATCCTTTGTAAATCCTCTTCCACAAACGCTGTAAAAGATTTAAATAAATCACAACTGGAATGTAAAATATATAGGCTAACTACTAACGCATTGTTTTAGATTTGGACCTCGCAAGGAGCCATTTATTAAGATTTTTGAGTGCTTTATTTTTGGCTTTTTCATCGTTTCCAGACAGCATTCGAATCACCTCCAATTCTTGGGCAATTAACGAAACTCTTTCGCTCGCTTTTATGTCAGATTTTTCCATATTTTCTGGTTTATTTGGAGATCGACCATTCGGTTTTCTTTTGAACTCTCAAACGCGCAACGTGATAAATTGACAGGTGACAACTAATGACAATTGACTTTAAAAAATGACTGTTGACAGCTCTCGACACGTTTTATAGTTGCGTTCCGATATGTTCCTGGACAGGATAGGACTGAGTTTTTTTTGTATACGTTTATAGACCATCGAGATAAAGTGGAGACGACATAAACACTATTTTGCGATATGAAAAAATGGACGCACTTCAAGTGACGGAAAAGTGTAATCAAAATGGCGACTTGAGTCGTACTTTAATATTTAAAGACTAACGGAATGAAAATAATTTTAAATCATTTATATGAAGCTATTTAACGAAAAATTATATTTATTCTCACCAAAACTAACTAGCTACACTATCTCGAGTTTGACATTGACGTAAAAATGTAATACAAAAGTGCGGACAATTTAGCATCGTCATAGCATCTCCTCCTTATTCTATCTCGATGATAAAGACTAAAGATAAAGAGGCGAATCGGCATACTCAAAATACAGTCCCGAAAAACGCACGCTGAGCTTTTATAATTAACCGCATGGGCGCTGATACTGCTTACGGTGTTCAAAATATATGGCTTCTTATGAGAAGTATACATAATTTTGTCAAAATAATGAACACAAACTTTTTTTAGCTAAATAAAACACAGAACATACTGTTGTATTTATTTCTAAATAAGTTTTTCATATTTTAATTGATGAATTATTTAATTTTTTTTATATATACAAATTAGGTAGGTGACCGAATTCGAAAAGGTTTTTTAAATGCTGAAATTTAAGTACAATTTTTTTTTTGAATTGAACCTATAGTTTTAACCGCAAAATAAAACACAGTTAATAGATTTTTTATTGTTGTAATACAAGTAAAAAGGGAGATTTGGGAATGTACATGGTATTACCTTATCCTTTAATTTCAGCTTTCCCCTTCTTATTTTGCTAACAGTACCATATCAGTAAAAATAGTCTCATATTTGATATCTTCTAAAAAGTATAGAACAGCATCATCTCTAGAAAGTGCTTTATCGGCACTAGGAACGATATATATGCTGCCACTGTTCCAAGCGTTTAGTAAAAAACATTTACAATGACACAATTGGAATTCAACAAAAAAAAATAACAGTAGCAACTCTTTAACATACCTGTGTAGCATTGGTGACAGCGGTGGGATATAAAGTAGAAGTTCATAGTAAATACTAGATCCACTGAGTATGAAGCATGCATGGATACTTCAGGCCCACCAGCATGGTTTTTGAAGATGGAAGAGGAGAGAGTAAGGCGAGAAGAGGAAAAGGAAATGCGTAGGAAGGAAGAAGAGAGTGAGGCGAGAAGAGAAAAAGGAAAGGCGCAGGAAGGAAAAAGAGAAGGAAAAGCATAGAAAGGAAGAAGAGGAGGAAAAGGAAAGGTGAGAAAAGGAGAAGGAAAGGCATAGGAAGGAAGAAGAGGAGGAAAAGGAAAGTCGTAGAAAGGAGGAAAATGAAAGGCGTAGTAAGGAAGAGGAAAAAGATAAGGAAGAAAGGCGTAGAAAAGCTGAGGTGGAAACTATGAACGGTTTACTACAAATCCAGGAAACCTTCAAACAAGAGGTTAATCAGCTTAAAATTAGAGTAGATCTGTTAGAGTAACAACAAGAGCATCTAAAAGCTAATTTAGAGAAACAAGCAAGATAATTTGAAAGCTAATTTAGAACAACAAGACCAGGTTAGAGTACAGCTGGAAAGGCAAATTAGAGCTGAAATGGCTGAGTTAGAAAAAATAATTCACAGCCAAGCTTCAGTAAACAGCATTGAAGCTTCAGACACTACTACCTCGTCTTCATCCATAACCGAACCAATCCACATTCGAATCCTAGTTTCACAAAACTATACTAGCAAGACCCTTAAGCCACCCACGTTTAACGGTCAGACGACATGGGAATCATATCGACTCCAATTTGAAGCTGCAGCTAGAACCAATTACTGAACCGAGAAAGAGATAACGACGTCATTGATAGTGTTATTGCGAGTTAGGCAGCAACTGTTTTACAGTTACTTCCTCAAGAGGAACCCAGTTATTCATCTCTCGTCCAAGCTTTGGAGACAAGATATGACCAGCAGCATTTGCAACAGATATTCCAAAGGTTCGTAATCAGAAACATAATGAGAGTCTACAGGAATTCGAGGCTGATATAAAAAGGTTGATTCATCTGGCCTATCCACAGGTGCTGAAAGATTTCCAAGAACAACTCGGAATACAAGCATTCATTGATGTGGAAATGCAGCAAGTCCTTCTTCTACAACATCACAAGACGCTGAGGGAGAAACTGATTGCATTCCAGGAATATGAAGCGGTAACACTCCTATCCAGATCTTCTCGCGCAAAAGAGGGAAATTAAATCCCAGGAAAGTGAGGAGGCCAATACTAATGCTATTCCCCAAATCTTAAATATCCTACGAAATATGCAAAATGGAAGTAGGAGATGCTTCAATTGCGGAAGAATCGGACACGTTCAAAGAACCTGTAGAAGCATGGCTCATTCTTTAAATTGAGAATCAGCGAATGAGACCGGAAAATCATATAGATCAATCTTTTCAAGCCCATCACTAAGACCAATAAGAATTAATTACAGCAGCTATGCGTCACGAAGAAGCCAATCACCTACACCGAGCCGACTTTATAACAATAACCAGAAAGTAGAGCATCGAGGAGGTATCCATAGCAACGCAGACATTCTCTACAGGCAACCCCGTTTAGAGGAGCAATGTTGGTATGGTAAAAGTCTCGAAGAACGGGTTGATAAAGTTACTATTCGGGCCACCACTATCAAGCCAGAGGACGACGAAGAACAAATCACCCTTGAAAGTCTGAGACAGGGACAGAAGAAAGACAATCACTTAAAGGTTGTCTGAGAATGGCTCAAAAATAAAGTCACACCTACTTGGCAAGAAAGAAATAGCCAAAGACAGTAGAACTATAGAAGACTACTGGACCTAGTTGGATTCCCTGTATCTTCACGATGGCCTATTGCACCGGAAGTGGGAGAGCCCCGATGGAGTACATGTAGTCCGCCAAGTGATACTGCCGAGATCACAGGTGAGGAGCTTCATAGCAGCCGTTCAGGAGGACACTTTGACACTAAAAGGACACTGGCACGAGTTCGGGAAAGATTTTATTGCCGACGTGATGTAGCGGATTGGTGTACAAAATGTGATGTATGCAATGAATTCGCTCGGGAACGCGACTGAAAGTCCACACCGATAAAGCAGAAGCTAGAATCGACAGGCGTGCAACATATATACATTTTGAGAGGGGCGACAAGGTATGGCTCTGCAATCCCAAGCAGCGAGGAGGACCGTCAGAAATCGCAACGGAACTGGAGGATTTACAACATATTTTTTTTTAATTGTCAAAATAATTTTTATAATATTTATACATTTTTAGATAGTTTAGATATTCCAAAAAATTTTATAAAACCTGTTACACTTTTTGATGTATTGTTTAAACTTCTGTCTTTCGGTAATGTTAAAAAAATATCAAAATTTATACAAATGTCTAAAATTAAGCTGTAAAATATTGTAATTATTTACCTGTTGTTACCAAATGGCTGTATCATCTTAGCTATGTAGGCCAATAAATTATAAAAAAAAAAAAAAAAAAACTGGGAAGGCCTCTACTCCGTCCTTAACACGTTAAGCCCCATGCGTACCATATTTGTACACAACAGTGTTTTCTAAGGGACCGTGCGTACCTAATACGGCCGCAGTATATGATCGCGATCAAACTACTGTGGCTATCCTAGGACCACAGCTAACATGATTTCTTATGGATTAATAGAATCGTTCGGTCTGTAGTAAATAAAAAATCTGCTTGGTCCGTGAAAAGCGTGACGTAAAATAGTTTGATTAGGTTATTTAGTTGATATTAGCTATTTGTCAAATAAACCTCGGTCTCAGTACGTTGTTGTTTATTTGGTAGTTAAAATTTTTTTAAAAATGTTGCGAATTAATAGAAAAAGCCGTTGTTAAATGATAAACTTCGCCGTATATTAGAGGAAGAAGATTTGAGTGATATAAGTGAGCAATTTGATGACTCAGATGGAGATCCGATATATGAGGAGAGTGACTCAGAGGGAAATAGTAGTAATAGCGATGATGTAGAGATCCCGAAAAAGAAACAAAAATTATTTCAAGAACCAATGCCGGATCCCAGCTCGAATTCTGTTTAAATAATTGAAGAAGGTAAGTTTTTAGACATTTTTAACGATATTTTCGATTGACTGTTATTTACTACGTATTTCAGAAGAACACGATTCATCAAGTGAAGACTCAAAATAAAATAATGCAGACTTTATTTTAATAAATAACCGAATACAGTGGAGGGAGGCGTGTATTTTCGAAAAACTAAATACATTTGCTTTTACGGAAAGTCCAGAATTTAATCCTGAAGAGATAGCAAAACTTAAAGGACATGAACCAGTTGATTTTTCTTGTTGACTAGATGATTCAGGATATGTTGGTTGAGGAAACCAACAAATATGCAGAACAAAAAATAGTAGAAGGGATTATTGATGAGTCACGTTACCAAACATTCGCTTCTGAATATCTGAAAGCCAACAAATAAACGTGAGTTTCTTCGTTTTCTGGCTCTTATTATTTGGATGGGATTAGATAGGAAACCGGAGCTGAGAGACTACTGGAGTACAAAAAACATTCTGTATGGAAACGAAATTTCAAAAATATGTGGTATTAGCCGAAATCGGTTTGAATTAGTTCTACATTTTTTCCACATATCCGATAATCAATTGGCTCCGGCTAATGATAGGCTGTACAAAATTGCTACTCTGGTAGATTTGCTAAATACTAAATTTCAAAAAATGTGTGCTTTAACTGTCGTTGTGTATAGACGAGACGATGGTACCATTTTGGGGTCGGTTAAGCTTTTTACAGTACATTCCTGGAAAACGACATAAGTACGGCATCAAAATTGTTAAGCCTTGCGTCACAGGAGGCTACACGTATGCAACTAAAATTTATGGTGGAAAAGAACAACCCACTGTAAAGTCTTTGGCATCCAGGGTGGTGATGATGGAGCTTATGCAGCCACTTCTAAATACTGGTAGATCCCTTTATACCGATACTTTTTATACCAGTGTTCACTAAGCCCATGAACTAAATAAGTATAAAACTCACTTGGTTGGAACTTTTCATTCTAATAGGAAAAATAATCCTAAGGCCGTGGTCGATACAAAGTTGAAGAGGGGCGAATTAAAATTTTTACAGTAATACCAAAGCAATTGTCGGAAAATGGAAAGACAAGAAGGATGTTCTTTTTTTAACAACCAAAGAAGTGCCACAAATGATTAAAATTCAAACAAATCGAGGCTTAGTCGCGAAACCTTCAACAATTGTTGAATACAGTTCAGCAAAATCCTTCGTTGATGTTTCAGACCAGAAGGCAGCGTACAGTTCTTTAGTTTGCAGAATTATAAAATGGTGTCGTAAGGTAGCTATAAAACTGTTAACAAACGCCCCAGTAGTTTATAGTCATGTAGCTGGCAATAAAATGAGTGTCACCAATTTTCGTGAAAAAGTTGTCACATCTCTACTACGGGCCCAAAATAATGTGCCAAATAATTTGCAAGAGCCACATAGACACACTCTTGGAGAAAAAGAAAAAAGATGAAGGTGTTCAGTGTGTTACAAAATATATTCGGAAAGAAAAGGAAACGCGGCTGCCGTGAAAATCACTGAACGCGTTAATTCATTATGTGCAGCATGCACAAACATTAATGCCTAAAAAAATAATTTTGTTGTAAGCTTTTTCAAATAAAGAATTATAAGATTTCGATTGTGACATAATATGGTACACATGGTCCAGGATATCGACAATAAGCAAAAAAAAATTGTATGGACCGCGTGTACCAAATTTGTACACGGCTTTATTTTACAAAAAATATTTTTTTTTGTGAATTACTAAAATAACTCTTAACTATAATACGTATCTTTATTCAAATTTGGCAAAAAAGTTGTCCGGTCTAAGGTGAAGTTTTCTTTTAAAGCCCCGGGGCTTAACGTGTTAAGGAAAATCAACGCCTGATCTGCCGCATTCAACTGTCAGCGGGAAGTAAAATCAACGTAGTTCATATTGGGAAGATAGCTCCATTCCATGGTCCAGATCCTCTCCATTAGTTTCAACTTTCCAAATTCGGAAAAATTATAAATTTTGAAATACTGCATTTTGGAAACTGCTGGGGTCTACAGAGACAGCACTGAACTCAATTTAGTCTACTTTGAAGGCGTATATCGTAGTTATGTTCAAAACCTAGTCCTTCAAGGTTAAAATCGTCAAAAATTGAAGAAAATTTCTTGGTACTTTTTTGGAGTTTCGACAATGTTACATTCGGCGCTCGAGGTGGAAAACTCAGCAAAAACTACCGGACGGTTACTAAACTAAAGGGTATCTTAATGAAAACTAATGTAAAAAATAGTAGGAAGGATATTTTATAAAAATAAATAGGCAACTTTTGCAAACAATTTTTATTCTGAGTTAGTGCTTTGGAACATTTTTTTTTTTTATTTCATAATATAAAGCTTTATTAAAGTATATTACATCATATTTTGTTCGATTTAGATTTATAAATGTCCATTACGAGTGCTTGATTTGTCTAGACCTTGATAACAGTTTTGTATAAATATCTACTTGTATACTATGAAGCTTTTTTTAGTTTATTTTTTTTTCGAGGTAGGAGATAAAAATAATATATATCTTTATTAAAATGTGGACAAAAAACGCCGTCTTTAAAAAAAATGAGCATTATTTGTTACTAAACCCAAATCAACATTTTCGTCTAAAATATCAACAGTTTGGTAATAAATAAATGTTTTAATACAGGGTGTTTCGGAAATAACTGTCAATATTATAACCACATCAAAAACGACTTTTTGTCAATTTTTTTTTGACAATAATTTTAGAAATAAATTTATTTACAGCTTGATTATGAACTTTTCGAAAACATACTAAAAACAGCTAGATTTTTAATTTGAAAATTTTGATAAGATGAAAATATTACCCCCACTAAATTATAGCAACTCCCCAAATAGTGTAAATTAAAAAACATGGCAAGGAACGTGTAGTTCTAGTTTATTATTCTATTTGTCACTGCCTGATGAACCCCAAATAGGGCAAAATCTGTTAATCACTAATTTTAAATTGACATTTAACACGAAAAGATACCTCAATTTTCGCCCTTCCTAAATTACAACCCCCCCCCCCCCCAAATTAATTAGAAAGGGTGTCGAAAGTGTCTTTAATTCACTTTTCAGCAGTATATCTCTATATTTTTTAAATTTGACCCATTAATAAACATGAAAATTCATTTTGAAAATATAAAATATTGTCAACACGTTCTCTGCCAACCATATTTTTCTATTTAGTGCCTCCTGAAATAACTATATTTTTAACCATGGCAATGAACGTGTTAATGCTTTGTATATACTCATTTATATGTCAATTTTAGTATATTATTGTGACTGACTATTCAATTTTTATTACAAATTAGATATTCCACATGAGCTTTCTGCTTCTACCTGAAGAACCCCAAATAGACAAAAAATCTGTCATTTGAGTTCTTTTATACTTTTTTCGTATATTTCGTTTATTCTTCACTCATTTTAATTTGAAATTGTCATTTTTTGACATGAAACTATAATCTATTGCTAGTTTTAGTTCAAGATCAGATACTACAGACAGTTTTCTGTCGCTACCTGATGAATCCGAAATAGGCCAAAAATTATTAAGCTGTTCGAGTTGCACCTCGTTTGAAAGATATTTTAATTCACTTTTCATTTTATTTTTAATTTGGCGCGTTATTACAAGCAAATTTAAAATATTGTTAATGCTTTACATACTCAATTTTGAGATATTTTTAGTTTATTTTCACCGGTTATTCAATTTCATTACGGATTAGAAATACCCCACATCTCTTTTGGTTTGTCTGTAAGTCTTCTACCATTCTGATTTGTGTCAATATTCCTGCAACCCCTTACGATTACAAGAAGTAAATTTTGAACAATGCGATTTTCTATTGAGGCAGACTGAATTTGAAGTCTAAGGAGTCCAATCTCCAATGGGCTTTCTATCGCTGCCTGAAGAGCCCCGAAAAGACCGAAACATGTTGTTTAAGTTTTGTACGACTTCTTTCGTATTATTATTCACTGTTGAATCAATATATGTGTAACAGTGTGTCCTGTAGGGATGCCAACATGAATACATGGCAAAATTGGCTCAAAAAAATGGAACGAATAGTAAAAAGTTATTTTTCGAGAAAAATACTGCCAAATTAAGCCAAAAAATGGAAAACTAATAGCAAATTTGACTCAAAATTAGTAAATTTTGTTTAAAAATCCAATTTGGCTCAAAAAATGTCCAATATGCTCAATTTATTAATATTAACGGGAATTTTCGTGCTACTGTCCCGTGTGGGGTGCCAACTTGGATGAATGGCAAATTTGGCTCATAAAAATGGACAAATAGTAAAAAGCGGTCTATCTCAAAAAAATACCGGTAAATTGGCTCAAAAAATGGAAAGTTGATAGCAAATTTGACTCAAAATTAGTAAATTTTGTTTAAAAATCCAATTTGGATCAAAAAATGTCCAATATGCTCAATTTATTAATAATAACGGGAATTTTCGAGCTACTGTCCTGTGTGGGGTGTCAATTTGGATTAACGGCAAATTTGGCTCGTAAAAATGAACGAATAGTAAAAATTGGTCTATCTCAAAAAAATACCGGCAAATTGGCTCAGAAAATGGAAAAATAATAGCAAATTTGACTCAAAATTAGTAAATTAAGTTCAAAAATTACAAATTTGGCTCAAAAAATGTCCAATATGCTCAATTTATTAATAATAAGGGAAATTTCTCACTTTGAATCGCTATATTCGTGCTAGTCTCCTATGTCGAATTCCAACTTGGATTAATGGCAAATTTGGCTCGTAAAAATGGACAAATAGTAAAACCTGGTCTAACTCAAAAAATACTGGCAAATTGGCTCAAAAAATGGAAACTATAATAGCAAATTTAGCCAGATTGGTTCAGGAAATGGAAAACAAAGCAAACTTGACTCAAAATTAGTAAAATTGGTTCAAAAATGGTCAATTGGGCTCAAAAATGTCTCATATGCTCAATTTATTAATCCCGAATCGTTATATTCGTACCGCTGTCCCGGGTAGAGGTGCCAACTTGGATAAATGGCAAATTTGGCTCAAAATTAAAAGTTTGAAATTGAAAAATGGACGAATAGTAAAAAAGTTGTCTCTCTCAAAAAATACTGGCAAATTGGCTCAAAAAAATGGAAAACAAAAAGCAAATTTGACTTAAAATTAGTAAAATTGGTTCAAAAATGGCCAATTGTGCTCAAAAATGTCTCATGCTCAATTTATTAATCCTGAATCGTTATATTCGTGCCGCTGTCCCGAGTAGAGTTGCCAACTTGGATAAATGGCAAATTTGGCTCAAAATTACAAGTTTGAAATTGAAAAAAGGACGAAAAGTAAAAAAATTGTCTCCCTCAAAAAATACTGGCAAATTGGCTCAAAAAAATGGAAAACAAAAAGCAAATTTGACTTAAAATTAGTAAAATTGGTTCAAAATTTGCCAATTGGGCTCAAAAATGTTCAATTTATTAATCTTGAATCGTTATATTCGTGCCGCTGTCCCGGGTAGAGGTGCCAACTTGGATAAATGGCAAATATGGCCCAAAATTGCAAGTTTGAAATTGAAAAATGGACGAATAGTAAAAAAGTTGTCTCTCTCAAAAAATACTGGCAAATTGGCTCAAAAAAATGGAAAACAAAAAGCAAATTTGACTTAAAATTAGTAAAATTGGTTCAAAAATGGCCAATTGGGCTCAAAAATGTCTCATGCTCAATTTATTAATCCTGAATCGTTATATTCGTGCCGCTGTCCCGAGTAGAGGTGCCAACTTGGATAAATGGCAAATTTGGCTCAAAATTACAAGTTTAAAATTGAAAAATGGACGAATAGTAAAAAAATTGTCTCCCTCAAAAAATACTGGCAAATTGGCTCATAAAAATGAAAAACTAAAAGCAAATTTGACTCAAAATTAGTAAAATTGGTTCAAAATTTGCCAATTGGGCTCAAAAATGTTCAATTTATTAATCTTGAATCGTTATATTCGTGCCACTGTCCCGAGTAGAGGTACCAACTTGGATAAATGGCAAATTTGGCTCAAAATTACAAGTTTGAAATTGAAAAATGGACGAATAGTAAAAAAGTTGTCTCTCTCAAAAAATACTGGCAAATTGGCTCAAAAAAATGGAAAACAAAAAGCAAATTTGACTTAAAATTAGTAAAATTGGTTCAAAAATGGCCAATTGGGCTCAAAAATGTCTCATATGCTCAATTTATTAATCTTAAATTGTTATATTCGTACCCACTGACCCGTATAGAGGTACCAACTTGGATATGTGGCAAATTTGGCTCAAAATTACAAGTTTGACTCAGATAAATGGAGGAATAGTAAAAAGTTGTCTCTCAAAAAATACTGGCAAATTGGCTCAAAAAATGAAAAACTAACAGCAAATTTGACTCAAAACTAGTAAAATTGGATCAAAAATGGCAAATTGGGCGCAGAAATGTTTCTTATGCTCAGTTCATTAATAATAACGAAAACCTCATCTTGAATGGGGGGGAGGGGGGGGGGGGGGGGGGGTTGATAAATGGCAAATTTGGCTCAAAATTGCAAGTTTGAAATTAAAAAATGGACAAATAGTAAAAAGTTGTCAAAATTTGGCTCAAAATATAGTAATAACGAAAACCTCGACTTAAAGCATGTTATTTGAGTTTTTGTTCGACTTCTTTCATATTTTTTTCGTTTAAACTTTTCGACCATTAAGATGGAATGTTTTCTACTAACACCACACCAGTGGCGCGCGTAATAAGCAACACAAATTAAAATAAATCATCATAAAAACGGTAAAAAAAAACCTAGCTTTTGACGAGGTTAAAATTGTTGACACTTATTCCCGCGACAACCTATATATAAATATATATAACCTACAATTTTTCTTCTAAACATTTTTTTTTTAATTTATATTTTTAAGTGCGCAAAGCAAATCAAAATGCTGTTGACTTGCGTTGCAAAACTTGTACCGTACAAAATAGACTAGATAAAGAAACAAAACAAAAATAAAAACAAAGTAAGTACATATCCGTCTCCACTGCATAACTTCACAAAAAAAAATACAAAACAACAATATACTATATATGTATAAATAAATATAAATAAAAGGAAACATACTACAGGGCAATTCATTTGTGTGTGTATGTCTGTGGGTTTTATCGAGTATTGTATAGCACCGTATCGAAATTCAGCTATGTTTTTTGTATTCACCAACGTTTATTAATTTTTTAGGTTATAGCAATCAAAGAGGGGATTTTGAAAAAGATGGGGCACGATTTTTTATGAAAAAAAAAAAAAAAAAAAAAAAAAATGGTTATCAACGTTATTTACTTGAATTTTTAATATTCATAGTTCTGATAAAGTTTATTCTTCTTTTTACCCTACACTGATGCAGTCGCAAAAAACGAAGCCATAGATTATTTTAGGTTGAATTGAATAAAGTGAGGTTATTAATTGCTAAACACAAGTTTACTGTTTTCGCGCAGACGTAAATATAACAACAAACTTCGATGCAACCTACATTTTTGGAATGGATGCAAGTAAAGACAAAGAGGAGACTGTCAGCTTCAATTTGACACTAATTGCGACAAAATCGAAGCAATATTCGTAAAATGCGCGTCGAAATAACAACAAACTTCAGTGTTACATTTTTGGAGTGAGTGCAAACAAAGGCAACCCTGGTTATTGTTATAGAGGGTGCTGTCTGCTTTTATTTGACGCAAATTGCGATAAAATCGAAGCAACTTTCGCAAAACGCGAACCAAAATAACAACAAGAATGAGTGCAAACAAAGGCAACCCTAGTTATTGTTATAGAGGGGCAGTTAGTTTTTATTTGACACCAATTGCGACAAAATCGAAGCAATATTCGTAAAATGCGCATCGAAATAACAACAAACTTCAATATTACATTTTTGGAGTGAGTGCAAACAAAGGTAACCCTAGTTATTATTAAAGAGGAGACTGTCAGCTTCCATTTGACACCAATTGCGACAAAATCGAAGCAACTTTCGCAAAACGCGAAGCAAAATAACAACAAACTTGAGTGTTAAATTTTTGGAGTGAGTGAAAACAAAGGCAACCTCAATTATTGTTATAAAGGAGGCCGTCAGCTTTTATTTGACACCAATTGCGACAAAATCGAAGCAACTTTCGCGAAACGCACGTCAAAATATCAACAAATTTTGGTGTTTAATGTTTTGAAAAAAGAGTAAACAAAGGAAACCTTAGGGTTAAAGACGGAGTGTTAGCTTCAATTTGACACCAATTGCGTCAAAATCGAAATTAAACTCGCATTTTGCGAAAGATGCTTCGATTTTGTCGCAATTGGTGTCAAAGGAAAGCTAATATCCTCATCTTTAACAATAACTAGGGTTGCCTATTCTGTAGCACCAAAGTTTGTTGTTGTTTTGACGCGCGTTTTGTGCATGTTGCTATTTTGTCGCAATGGGAATCAAACGAAAACTGATAGCCTCCTCTTTAACACAAACTGAGGTTGCCTTCGTTTAAAAATTCAAAAACGTAACAACGAAGTTTTTTTGGAGCGAATTTTGTGAAAGATGTTTCGATTTTGTCGCAATCGGTGTCAAACGAAAGCTAACACCCCCATCTTTAATAATAACTAGGGTTGCCTTTGTTTACGGTCATTTCAAAACCCTAGCATCAAAGTTTGTTGTTATTTTGACGCGCGTTTTGCGAATGTTGCTTCTATTTTGTCGCAATGGGTATCAAACGAAAACTGAGAGCCTCATCTTTAAGAAAAAAAGCGTGCCTTTGTTTGTACTTAACTTAAAAACGTAGCAACGAAGTTTTTTTTGTTATTTTGGCGCAAATTTTGCGAAACATGTTTCTATTTTGTCGCAATCGGTGTCAAACGAAAGCTAACAGTCCCATATTTAACAATAACTAGGGTTGCCTTTGTTTACGTTCATTTCAAAACTGTGGCCTCAAAGTTTGTTCTTTTGACGCACGTTTTGCGAATGTTGATTCTATTTTGTCGCAATGTGTATCAAACTAAGACTGCCTTTGTTTTAACTCAATCCAAAAACAGCAACGGTTTTTTGTAATTTTGACGCACATTTTGCGAAAGTGGCTTTCATTTTGTCGCAATTGGTGTCAAATGAAAGTTGAAAGTATTCTCTTTAACAATAAATAGGGTTGCTTTTGATTGCACTCGCCCTAAAAACGTAGAAACGAAGTTTTTTGTTATTTTGACGCGCATTTTGCAAATATTTCTTTAATTTTGTCGCAATTGATGTCAAATGAACCGACAGTCTTCTCTTTAACAATAAATAGGGTTGCATTTGATTACATTCGCCCCAAAAACGTAACAACGAAGTTTATTGTTATTTTGACGCGCATTTTGCGAAATTTGATTCTATTTTGTCGTAATTGAAGTCAAATGGAATCCGACAGTTTTCTTGTTAACAATAAATAGGGTTGCCTTTGATTACACTCGCCCCAAAAACGTAACAACGAAGTTTTTTGTTATTTTGACGCTCATTCTGCGAAAGTTGCTTCCATTTTGTCGCAATTGGTGTCAAATGAAAGCTGACAGTCTTCTCTTTAACAATAAATAAGGTTGCCTTTGATTACACTACCCTCAAAAACGTAGCAACGAAGATTGTTGTTATTTTGACTCGCATTTTGATTCTATTTTGACGCAATTGATATCAAATGAAAGCTGACAGTCTTCTCTTTAACAATAAATAGGGTTGCCTTTGACACGCGTTTTTTTGCGAAGATTAATTGATATCCTGTCATTTTTTTTAATTTCAGCCTAAAATAATGTCTCCGATTTTTGCGGTTGCCTTTCGGTTTATATAGCTATATAGCGCTACAGATGGACTGGGGTGATAGTAGGTAAAGAAAAAGTATTGAAAACAATTTAATCCATGAAATGGGGTTTCAAGAGTGGCACATAACGCTATACATTGTGTAGTGAAGACACGTTCAGTTTAATAACATTTATGGAAGAACGATTCATTGTACTGGAAGATTTTTCTCTATTTTGTGACTTGCGACACACGAGTTGTTTTTCCTTAGTCACAGGTCAGTTTAGAATTTTTTTTAGGCGACATAAATAAATAAACGAAATTTGCGCTATAAAATCGGAAAAAGAAACGTTAATGGATCGCCCTGTATACTAGAAGAGTACTGGTACCTCGAAATGCGTATAACCTACAAAAAACAAGTTTAGTCCAACCATTATGTACTTTCTAAAACATATTTAAAAATTGAATTATTTCGATTATGAAAAATTTGCCTCAAAAATGGATAATTTGTCTCAAAATGCAAATTTTGTCTTAAAAAAATAGAAATTTGTCTCAAAAATTGCCGTTTTGTTCAATTTAGTAAAATACTGGCAATTTTGTTCAAAAATTTGGCCCAATTATTTTTTTTATCAAAGTATCAAAAATGGCAAATTTGACTCAAAAATGGTAAAATAGGATAAAAATTGCAAATTTGTTCAAAAAAATATCAAATTAATTAATTTAGTGAAAATTTGTTTATCACGAAAAAAAATACTGGCAAATTACTCGAAATTTGAAAATTTGTGTCAAAAAATTGAAAATTTGGCTCAAAAATGAGTAATTTGACTAAAAAAATTCCAAATGGTTCAATTTAGAAAAAAGTTCCCTCTCAAAAAAATACTGAAAATTTTGTTTCAAAAAAACTCTAAAACTAATGAAAGGCAAATTTGGCTCGAAATTGCAAATTTGGCTCAAAAATGGACGTACAGTAAGATATTATTTTAGTGAAAAAATACTGGCAAATTGAAAATTTGTCTCAAAAAATTGAACTCATGACAAATTTGGCTCAAAAATGAGTAATTTGTAAAAAAATAGATTTTTTTTATAAAAATAAAAATTTCTTCCAAGAGAATGTAAATTTTGGACAAAAGCCAAATTTAGCACAAAAATTGCCAATTTGACTAAAAAAAAAATCGAAAACGAATGGCAAATTAGGCTCAAAAACGAGTAATTTCTACCAAAATGAAAAATGTATCTCAACAATATAAATTTCGTCTCAAAAAATGCAAAATTTGGATAAAAGGCAAATTTGGCTCGAAATTGCAAATTTGGCACAAAAATTGCCCAAATGATTGGACTAATTATATAAAAATATTTTTTTTAGACTATTAAAATTCAACGTATTTAAAAATTAAATGCAACCTATAAAGATTTAAAATAAATCAAAAATTAATTAATTAATGTATAGAAATTTTAGCAAATGACGTACCAGAGATCCTCTTCGTCCAGCCAGAACTTGTAAAAGAGTTCAAAGACATCATCAAAAAATCACGATTCGTGGACAACGTGGTTATTGATTTATATTAAACAAAATTATAAATACATAAAATTTACAGAGGAGGAGAATAATAAATAATCTATTTTTTGAGTGTATATAAATAAATTTTGCGAAAACCAAATAAAGCCTTGGTTCGAAAATATCCCATTAAAAAACTAAAAAGTGTTATTGACTTAAAGGTGGGACTTTGTACCCTCTTGTTCATAAAAAAGGACGTACGCTTCCCCACTGACTAATGATCTCGGAGATATCGGTGAAACCCTAAAACAAAAAACAATTCTAGTTAAAAACAGTAAAGTTGTCTCGCAAAATACTCGCAAAATTGCTCAAAAGATGGAAAACTAATAGAAAATTTGGCTCAAAAACGGTAATTACTCAAAAATTGCAAATTTGCCTTAAATAACGTTCAATATGTTCAATTTAGGCAAATTTGGCTCAAAAATTAACAAAAAATGATTTGTTTTCTGAAAAATACTTGCAAAAGAACCAAAAAATTTAAAACTAGGAGAAAATTTGGCTCAAAAGTGGTAAATTTGACTCCAAATGGTAAAATTCGCTCAAAATGGCAAATTTTCCTTAAAATTAGTAAATTTGGTTCAACAGTGGCCTATTTGGCTTAAATAATGTTCAATTTATGCAAGTTTGGCTCAAAAATGAAAAAAAAAAAATTGTTTTTCTTAAAAAATACTATCAAAATAGCTCAAACAATGGAAAACTAATAGAAAATTTGGCTCAAAAAAAATAAATTTTACTTATAAATTGCAAATTTGCCTCAAAATTAGTAAATTTGGCTCAACATTGGTCAATTTGACTTAAATAACGTTCAATATGTTCAATTTAGTAATGAGAAACTTTTCACATTGAATCGATATATTCGTGCCACTTTCACGTGTAGATGTCCCAACTTGAATAAATGACAAATTTTGCTCAAAAAATGAACAAATAAAAAAATTGTTTTAAAAAAAAAAACACTAGATAAATAAATAGCTCGAAAAATGGAAAACTAGTAGAAAATTTGGCTCAAAAAAGGTTAATTTGACTTAAAATGGCAAAGTTCGCTCAAAATGACAAATTTTCTTCAAAATTAGTAAATATGGTTCAACAATGGCCAATTTGACGAATAGTAAAAAAGTTGCCTTTTTTTAAAAAATACTGGCAAATTGGCTCAAAAAATGGAAAACTAAAAGCAAATTGGCTCAAAAAATGGAAAACTAAAAGCAAATTTGACTCAAAAATGGTAAATAACTCAAAATCTGACTTTGAATCTAAATATTCGTGGCACTGTCCCGTGTAGGGTTGCCTGCCAGCTTGGATAAATGACAAATTTGGCTCAAAAAATGGACATACAATAAAAAGTCTGAAAAAATACTGGCAAATTTATGACTCAAAAAATTAAAAATAGCAAATGATAAATGCCTAAAAATTAGTAAATTTGGTTCAAATATGGCCATTTTCATTAAAAAAAATTAACGATAGGTATAAAGTTTCAAAAAAATACTGGAAAATTGGCTCAAAAAATTGAAAATTGCAAATTTGGCTCAAAAATGGTAAATGACTCAAAATTAGTAAATTTGGTTCAATGGCCAATTTGATTCAAAAAAATTAGCGAATGGGTAAGAAGTTATTTCAAAAAAATAATGGAAAATTGGATCAAAAAATGGAAAATAATAAATTTGGCTCAAAAATGGCAAATGACTCAAAATTAGTAAATTTGGTTTTAAAGTGACCAAAATGGATCGAAAATTACCAATTTGGCTTAAAAATTTACAAATTCAATTTAGTTATGGCGAGAACCTTATCTTGAATTAAATTTGAGGTCCCAACTTGGATGAATAGCAAATTTGGCTCAAAATTGCAAGTTTTAAATTGAACAATGGACGAATAGTAAAAAAGTTTTCTCTCTCAAAAAATACTGGCAAAAAATGGAAAACTAAAAGCAAATTTGACTCAAAAATGATAAACAACTCAAAATCTCACTTTGGCTCAAAAAAATAGACACAAAATAGTCTCAAAAAATAGTGGCAAAAAATTAAAAATAGCAAATTTGGCTAAAAAATGATAAATGTAAAAATTAGTAAATTTGGTTCAAAGATTTGACTCAAAAAAATTAACGAATAGTAAAAAGTTTCAAAAGAATATTGGAAAATTGGCTCAAAAAATAGAAAATAGCAAATTTGGCTTAAAAAATGGGAAATGGCAAATTTGGCTCGAAAATAGCAAATTTTACTCAAAAATGGTAAATTTTAGTAAAAATGGAAATGTTGTTTCAAAATTAGTAAATTTGGTTCAAAAAAAAGAAATGTTCTCACCTTGAATCGTTATATTCGTGCCACTGTCCCGTGTAGGGGTGCCTACAGTACGCCGTGTAGTGTCCGCTGTAGGTTGTGCCGCTGTGATTCGAAATGGCGTACAAATTGTACCGAGACGTAACAACGTTGTCGGCCGCGTACTGGCTCATGTCGAGATCCTCCAACGGAAAATCGATGGTGACGTTCAACTTTCCGCGAAATCTTTCCGTCGGAGAAAACCTTTTCAAATGGATGACCAACACCTTGGGAAATTTGTGAATCGAAAACGATTTCGTACATCTTCGTCTTTCTTTGCATTTCGAACAAGTCTGGAATAAAAACGGATTTACTAGGATCAAATGTTTAAATGAATCGACTTACCGGTTTCTCGTCGCCATCTAAAGTCTCTTCTCGCGTAAAACAATCCAAACATTGCGACAATCTTAATTGACCAGTCCTTTGAGGTATGGGAAGGGACAGATCCCAAAAGGGATCGAACGTTACCGAACAGTGACCGCAATAGGTGCACTTTAACGTGGATTTCAGTTGGCCCACAAAGTGATCCACTATTTTGGAATTGTCCATTCTCAAGTACCTGCGCCAAGCCTCTTGAGCCTTGTCGTTATCACTAAAAAAAAAGAAAAATGCATTTTAGAATGTTTTTCCAGTCAGTTTACTTCTGCACCAACCTTAATTTTTCATCTATTTCCGTTAATATAGGCTTGGGTTTTTCGCTCACTCCTATTTACGTCTTCGTGGAGTCCTTCCAACAAATACCTCAGAAACTCTTGGGCGTCTTGCTGGGCGTAACCCATAAATCGAGGCGCAAATCGTTGGATTTGGCCCTTCAATGAGGTGGTGTTGACTACCCGATCTGAGGAATCTTCGGTCCATAGTTCCTTTATTACTTCAGCAAATGCTGTTCGAAAATTGTTAAAATATCAATCACGGGATAGATCAATTACACCGGCACACACAAAAAAAGTTGTCAGTATTTTTGACGGGACCGGTATATTTTTATGTATTTCGATCCGCTGAATCCGAATCTAAGGTCCGTTTGACCCGAACACTGTCAAATTTTCGAGAAAACTGAAAAACCGAAAAAACTACGAAAATCGGCTGTTTTTTTCTCGAAAATTTGACCGTGTACGGGTCAAACGGACCTTAGATTCGGATTCAGCCGGTCGAAATACATAAAGATATACCCGGTCCCAAAAGAATTGACAACTTTTGATGGGACCGGTATATCTTTATGTATTTCGACTCGCTGAATCCGAATCTAAGGTCCGTTTGACCCGTACACCGTCAAATTTCGAGAAAACTTTGAAAACCGAAAAAACTACGAAAATCGGCAGTTTTTTCTCGAAAATTTGACCGTGTACGGGTCAAACGGACCTTAGATTCGGATTCAAGCGCGGTCGAAATATAGTAAAATATAACCGGTCCCGTCAAAAATACTGACAAATTTGACGGGACCTGGATATATCCTTGAGTATTTCGACCCGCTGAAATCCGAATCTGAGGTCTATTTGACCCCCGTACTCCCGTCAAATTTTCCAGAAAACTTTGAAAAAAATGAGGAAAATCGTCAGTTTTCCTCGAAAATTTGACGGTTGTAGCGGGTCAAACGGACCTTAGATTCGGATTACAGCGGGTCGAAATACGTAAATATACCGGTCCCGTCAAAAATACTGACAAATTTTGACGGGGACCGGTATATCCTTGAGTATTTCGACCCGCTCTGAATCCGAATCTGAGGTCTATTTGACCCCGTACTCCGTCAAATTTTCCAGAAAACTTTTGAAAAAACGAAAAAAAATGAGGAAAATCGTCAGTTTTCCTCGAAAATTTGACGGTGTACGGGTCAAACGGACCTTAGATTCGGATTCAGTGGGTCGAAATACGTAAATATACCGGTCCCGTCAAAATACTGACAAATTTTGACGGGACCGGTATACCCTTGAGTATTTCGTACCCGGCTGAATCCGAATCTGAGGTCTATTTGCACCCCCGTACTCCGTCAAATTTTCCAGAAAACTTTGAAAAAAACGATAAAAAAATGAGGGAAAATCGTCAGTTTTCTCGAAAATTTGACGGTGTACGGGTCAAACGGACCTTAGTTTTCGGATTCAGTGGGGTCGAAATACGTAAATATACCGGTCCCGTCAAAATACTGACAAATTTTGACGGGACCGGTATACCCTTGAGTATTTCGACCCGCTGAATCCGAATCTGAGGTCTATTTGACCCCGTACTCCGTCAAATTTTCCAGAAAACTTTGAAAAAAAAAAACGAAAAAAATGAGGAAAATCGTCAGTTTCTCGAAAATTTGACGGTGTAACGGGTTCAAACGGACCTTAGATTCGGATTCAGCAGCCGTCGAAATACATAAAGATATACCGGTCCCAAAATAACTGACAACTTTTGATGGGGACCGGTATATCTTTATGTATTTCGACTCGCTGAATCCGAATCTGAAGTCCGTTTGACCCGCACACCGTCAAATTTTCGAGAAAACTTTGAAAAACCGAAAAAATGACGAAAATCGGCAGTTTTTCGAATACGATACCCGCCATCTTAAATCGCTTAGTCGTGTCGACCCCCTGATAGTTGGCGTCTCCCCATTCTCCCATCCTGAGGTTAGACAGGTTAGCCAACGGTAGACAACTCAGGTTTGACAGCTAACAGCGCTGGATTGAAAGCTGGCAACACAGGTTTGACAGCTGACAATTGGTAACACTGAATTGACAGCTGACATGACGGAGTTCTTGGGGACAAAGGTCAAAGTGTGCTCAACACTCCTATTAACCACTGATATACCGTTCCCGTCAAAAGTACTAACAACTTTTTTTTTGTGTGCCGGTGTTATTATTCTTAATAATTATACCTCTGATTAACGCCCCCTTCATACTAGATATGCTCGTATTAATATCCCTAATATAGACATCCTTCTTTAGATACTCCAACAGCCACCTGGTGTTCGACAGGCACTGGATGACGCTGTTCATGAAACAAGTGTTTCCGATGTTCTTGAGCCCGTTAAGGCCCATACATTTAGCGTCGGCGCTGTAAGCGTTCGGCCTGATGGCCGAGCCGCCGTAGCTGTTGATCGCTCTCTCGCCGCCGCTGTCATCATCCGAATAATCGCGGATCCGATGATGGCTCTCTCTATCTCGTTCGCTCGATCGGCGCGATAAGGAACTTGAGTTAAGGCTACTTTGTATTGAGTTGGATGGAGAGATGGCTGTTCTGGTTAGTTTCGGTGACGTCGATAGGTCCTACAAATTTATTAGATAATTTATACCGAAATTACCCGTACAATCATAGTCTATCGAACAAAAATATACAGGGTGGCCACTTTTTCATTGAAATGTATTGCTATCTCGTAAACCGTTGGTAACACAAAGTTGGTTAAATGGGGAAAAAGTTGCATATTTCGAAGTCCAATCTGAGGGCGTTTTGAAAACTAAAATATCAGGTCCGGTTTCCGAGATATTCGATAAAAAACAAATAAGTACCATTTCTTTATTCCGCTACAGAACGTTTATTTGCAAAAATAGACAAAAACTCATTTGGAGTTTTTTGTTTTATATCAAATTGTGCGTATGATAGCGTATTTAGTTTTTTTATCCGACGTTTCGTAAATGCAGGACCACCATCAACTTCTTTATTTGAATATGGACCAATATTTTCCTGGCTCATAATTTTAATGCATGTTCAATGTTGAATACAATGATGTAATAACATATTGTGATTAGTCAACATTTCGGAAGATTTGAACATCATCAGGTAAGTTTACAAGTACAGACCTGTGTTTTGTTAGTTAAAAATATTTGAATTAGTAAATGATGTATTATCGTTGTAAGAGATTATAAATAATAAATACCAAAGTCAAACTTTTAACTTTATATCAAGACAACATGTTCGTTTACACATTTGCTAAAAAATATTTTCCATTTTTATGGTTTTTGCACTTGACCAATCCCAATATTAATCTATAAATAAAGTACATCCCGATTTTTAAATACATAAAGTTAGCCTGATTTGTCATATTTTGTTGGATTTTTTAAACTGATATGGTTCCTCATAGTATAAAAAAGAAAAAGTTAACAAACTGCAGATAGATACCTACTTACAATAATAATTGTATATCTAGCAACACGTCTTGATTATTATACAGATAAATTTAAATCAAGTTAACCTGGCATGTCACATTTTATTATTGTATATTTGACAGTCTGGTATCGGATAAAAGCATTGGTATATTTTTAATTAGGGTATTGAAAATATGGTTCGTTACAGTAGAAGTGAGAAAAAAGATATGTACGATGTGTACATAAAATGTAACAGAAATAGTGGAGAAGCTGCAGAAAGATACCTTCAGTTGTATCCAGGAAGAAGGCAACCATCTTTATTAATTTATTATAGGATAGCGTTAAATATGGCTCACGAAGGAAATATTAAAAAAAAACGTGGTAAATATTTAAAACGTAATACAATAAATGAAATAAATGTTTTGTCTCAAGTTTATATCAACCCTGAAACGTCGTCTAGAGCAATAAGCCGAGAATGTGGAGTTTCTGCAAGTACTGTGAAAAACATTCTTAAAAAACATAAGTACCATGATTACAAATTTCAAACTGTACAAAAGCTACATCCTGGAGATTATAATCGTAGAATAGAATTTTGCCGTTGGTATAAACGAAAATTAAATAATGATGTATCCTTTCATGGACGAATTTTATGGACAGATGAATCGACATTTACTAATAGTGGAATATTTAATAAAAAAAATAAACATTTTTATGCCACCGACAACCCACATTTAATTCAAGAAGTAAGACCCCAAATTAGATTTTCAATAAACTTATGGTGTGGAATACTCAATAATAAAATAATTGGTCCTATTTTTATTGACGGAAACCTCAACCAACACAACTATTTACAATTGCTAGAAGATATGTTAGATAATCTTCCTTTAGGTGATCAAAGAAATATTTATTTTATGCAAGATGGCTGTGGGCCACATAATGCTGCATTAATCAGAAATTATTTAAACGAAAGATTTCCCAGGAGGTGGTTTGGTACACATGGACCTATTCGATGGCCCCCTAGGTCACCCTGCTTAAATCCTATGGATTATTTTGTATGGGGATATATCAAAAATAAAGTATATTATGATGGTATTCCAAATGACTTAAATCAATTACGAGATAGGATAATTAATGCGTTTAATGATATCACTCCACAAATGGTTTCTGCCAGCATAGCTCAAATGACAGACCGTATTGACTTATGTATTCAAGAAGAAGGAGGACATTTTGAGCAACTACTGTAGTTTTTCTCTTATCGTTAATCATTGTTTTCATTTATTTGTTTCTGACGTGATTAAGTAGTTAAATAAATATTTTTTTTATTAAATTATTTTAAGCATTTAAAATATAGTTGTGTATTTCAAATAATTTATAATACAGGTCTGTACAAGTAAACGTACCTGATTTCTTGCACTGATAATACATCATTTACTAATTCAAATATTTTTAACTAACAAAACACAGGTCCGTACTTGTAAACTTACCTGATGATGTTCAAATCTTCCGAAATGTTGACTAATCACAATATGTTATTACATCATTGTATTCAACATTGAACATGCATTAAAATTATGAGCCAGGAAAATATTGGTCCATATTCAAATAAAGAAGTTGATGGTGGTCCTGCATTTACGAAACGTCGGATAAAAAAACTAAATACGCTATCATACGCACAATTTGATATAAAACAAAAAACTACAAATGAGTTTTTGTCTATTTTTGCAAATAAACGTTCTGTAGCGGAATAAAGAAATGGTACTTATTTGTTTTTTATCGAATATCTCGGAAACCGGACCTGATATTTTAGTTTTCAAAACGCCCTCAGATTGGACTTCGAAATATCCAACTTTTTCCCCATTTAACCAACTTTGTGTTACCAACGGTTTACGAGATAGTAATACATTTCAATGAAAAAGTGGCCACCCTGTATACCGAATTGAAGATAAGTTTGTTCTCTTTATGATGAAATAGGGTTGCCTGGGTAAAAGTTGGAGCAACTGTGGGTTGCCAGCGTTTAAATAATATAAATGATCGGCCAGATTATCTTCAATATTGAATATAAAAAATGAAACTTTAGTTCATAGCAAAAAGGGTGAAACGCATCATTAAGACATTCAGCGAAATATTTTGCAATTGCATTGACATTCAATTTATGACACTTGAATATCAGTTTTGTAAAAGTGAAATTTTTTAAGAGTTACTACTAAAATTATTAATCAATTAATGATAACAATTTAAAAATGTATCATTATGGATCTAGATCGAGAGTTTATTTTAAAAATATTTTCGTATATACAGGGTCATTCATCACAAAGTTATACAATAATATTCTTGATCGTTTCGGCCTTTATTTAATGAAAATCTTTATTGTGTAAATGAAAAAAAAAAACAAACTTTGTAGATTTCACAAATAGTAATAATACAAGTCTTCCTCAAATGTGACTAATTGTGCTTCAAAACAACTGTCATAAAAAAGGAATGGTACATATTTTATTTCATTTATGAAATATCTAGTACCATTTCAATATATTCTCCAATATAAATAAATTTCCACTTTTTTAACTACAAAAAATAAATGTTTATACTCTTGTTTTGATATAAATTAGTATTTAAATATTGAAATTTACCTTAAAAAACTATTATCGCATCACTCTGTATACATAAATATATTTTTGAACGAAATTTTTATAGGTTTTATAAGAGTTCTGCGACGACATAAGTTTGTGCCACCCTGTATCTATAACTGCAATGTTAAATGTAAAAAAAAAACTGTATCACATTTACAAATCTCATTGTACCTACATCTAATTTTAGATTATTTTATCAATGAATAATCACTTTCAATAAAACGTAGTAACTAACGTTCACGTGTACCAAACCTGCAAATTATTTTTTGTGATTGACAAACAGAATTAGATACGTCAGAGGCAGGAAATGAACGGTCTAATGACAAAAAGAAAAATAGAAAATACAACAATGCCAATGACTATAATTTGCGTGTTTCCAGTTTATACCTTTTTGAAAAGTCAATTTTATTAAATTCAAAAATGAATGAAAATTTTCGAAACGCATTTAATAGAGAATAGAAAAAAATGTCTATAAAAGTGCATATTTTAGATCTAGTTATATACAGGGTGTTCCTTGTTAAAGAAAATGTTATTATTCATAAAAGTTTTTGCTTGTTTCAAAATAATAATAATAATTATTATTCAAATAGACGTTGACTATCTCTTTTTTTGAGTGAAATCGTACAATCGAAAATTCGAAAAAGAAATTCCGTAACGACAATAAACCTAACACCCCCCCTCTCCGACCGCCACAGCGGTGCGCCGTTGAAAGCCGTGCAGCGTCTAACGTCGTTTGAGTTCGGCAGACTTCGGCACGATGTTTGTGTGCGTGCAACTAGACGTATGCGTGTAGACTAGCTGCTAACTGCTCATAACTGATTCTATCTCTTTTAGACACAATTTCGGAAAAATTGAATTTGAAAATGAATAATGATCCACAAGAATCCACAACAAAATATGGGACCACCATTGACGCGGTATTTTCCAGATATTTAGAGGGTATCAAGTCTCAAACTTCAGTTACCATAAACCTATAGTTTCAATGATAAAAATTCCTGAATAACCTACATGTATTGTAAGATAATAAAAATATTTTAAACAATATTAACTTCTCATTTATACAATAAAAGAAAAAAATTTGTTTTCTTATCGGTCACCACGCTCAAAAAGTGTAACTTGAATTAATATCAAAGAAAAAAAAAAATACTGCATAAATAAAATAAATATAATTATAATTGCATAAGTTGATAAAAAATACTATGCAATAGCTTTACCGCGGCAGTCCCCGAGTGCCACACGTATTTTTTTTACATTTTTGTCATTATTTTACTAAAATAAAAATATTTAACTTCTGTTTGGATCATTATTAATTTCCAAAACAAACAAAAACTTTTATGAACATTTTTTTTCGAAAAGATAGAACTAAAGTTTTTCCTCTCTGTTTTAATGCATCTGGGGACACCCTGTATATAAATTAAATTAATAATGAGGTCATTTAAATTTAGAAATAAATGTAGGTAATACACAAAAGTATTTAATAATAATCTGCTTAATGTTATCAACATTATCATAAAAAAATTATACAGGGTGTCTGTAAAAGGTCTTTACAAAAACATA